AGCTCTTTTTTAAAAACTTTTTCGTTAGTTTTGGTTAAATATAAAAATCTAAATGCAATGGTTTGATTCAAGCACCCACTTTTAAAGCAAACTAATGCAGCAAGTTAGACAGAGTACAGTGACTTGTGCTGCACATTTCAATGGATCACTGAATGCCTTGTTTTAGTTGAAAATATTGAAAAAATTATCATTTTGACTTTGTAAACTATTTTTCAATGTAATATTTATTTTATAGTTCAATCTAATTAATTTTTTTATCATGAATAAGCCTGTTCCATTTCTAACTGTAACCAACAATCATTTGCTATTAAGTGTTCCACTTTATTTGAAATCTTCTTTAAAGATCAGATGATGGCGATAATCTTATGTGCAATGTCATCAGGCTGCTTTTCTGCTTTTAGCTTTAACATAAAACAGTCATCATAAATCAATGTTTTTTTTGTGTCAGTTTTCCATCTAAGTGCGTTTATCTTTCTTATTACAAAACCAGATCCAGTATTTCCTGGGCCGTTTCATATTTATTAGTGTGAGCATAAGAAACACGGTCTATGCGAGGGCATTTATGTGCCATGTGCATTTTGCCCTTTGTCCTTGCTGCTATGTGTTCTGGTATGTAGCTAAAGGTCGAGGCCAGGCACTGAGCAGTACAACAGGGGCCCGGTCAGGGGAGCTCAGGCTGGGAAGAGCTGCAGAGTCAAAGTCCAGCAGCCTTAAGTAGAGATTATGACATAGCCATGAATATTACAGTGCAACAATATACATCCTTGTGCAAAGTCTTTAAGATAAGCGTGTACTATCAAATGATTGAGGCACTAAGCATGTTTTTGAGCGATTTATATTTATTTTGCTGCAGCTGCAGAAATTGCATTAGGTAATTCATAAGTGTAAGTCAAGAGAAGCTGAAAATGTGTAATATTCTGAGTGTTGAATAGTTTCCACGCCCAAAATGTTGTATGTAATAGTGACATACAAGTAAAACAACAGCAATAGTTATTTTTTTATAGCATAAGATGGTGCAGGGGTCCACAAGCTGTTTATTAACCTCTTATACTTACAGTGCAACTACTATTATTCAAATAGGAAAAAACTATTCTAAAGCAAAAAATGACACCACCAAACCAGTAGTAGTTGTAGCAGGAATTAGCTGAAGAAAATGTGAAAATATGGCATCGAAAGTGAACAACCGATAAAAGATTTGAAGAAGCAGAAAAACAAGAGGGGAAATACAGCTATAAGATTACAGGAAACCATGTATGTTTGGTTCGATTCAAAAGTTGTTTTTGGAATTTAGAAAAGCAAAATTTTAGCTTTTCAACACAGAGATGAAGAGTTTTGTGTGAGCAGATGAAAGTGTGACCAACCAGTTTTCAAGTTTCAGAAGCTGCAAAAGGAAGACAAGTTTCCACCAGAGGCCAAACTGTTACCAATATTCTACAATATTATTATGTCCCAAGTGGTCCGGTGGCTGTGTTCTGCAAGAAAATAATATCTTCATTTTTACAGAGTGTACTACCATTGTTCTGTTTGGTTAAAGTTAGTTAAACATCAGGTTTAGACATTTAGGTACACAGTAAACTGCTATTTATTTCAGAAAGCTGTGACATTTGCGCGTTGCCATGGTGATGTGTTTGCTGACTGTTATATCACCAGCTCAGAAAACTCCGCACAAAGTGCCTGTGTGTTTAAAAACTGATGAGGTGGCTTCCTGAGGAGCAAGGGAGTTAAAACTAGTTACATTTGTTAATGGACAATGTACTTCCTATAAGAAGACCTTCAAGTGCTATTTATGTGCCCCGTGTAGCAGTTGAGACGCAATTACCAATGAAGGAGAATAATCATGGCTTTAGACTCCCAGGCTAGTCACTCACATCTCTAAACACATGCTGTGCATCCTAGTATCAGTTACAGCCATTTTTGGAAGGGACACAATAATACTGATCAGTTACAGTTTTTTCTACATTCAACACCATCATAACTTGTGAAAACATATGATCGTTTTGCAATATGATAAGTTTACCCTTTCTGAATGAGATTGCTCCATTGCCACACATCACAATAGAAATATTGATGACGACACAACTACAAACGACAAAAATAAATAGAGTTCATTCAACCAATAAAACTGTTTTTGCACAGGCTCAAATACCTACTCAGAATCCAGTCAAAGAACTCTGAAACTGTTAGTAAATGCTAAAATACAAGAGATCAGGTCCAGATCAGTTCAACATGGAAGAGGTCTGAGTATCACTCTTAATCCTGCTGTGCAAGTCTGACTTCCTCGGAATGTACAGAAATTCTAAACTAGCCTAATTTTCTCTGAATTATCAGAAGTCGGACAGTCTCTATAGGATATGGTGTAACTTTACTGATATAAACAGTAGAAGCCTGCTTGTCTATAGGGGAGAAGCATACAGTTTTCTTAGAACGTGACTTTATTGAATAGAATTGGTTGTAGCCCTCATCACACCACTGGTAAGGTTTCTTTTTTAGCAGTGGGAATTACTGGGATAAAAAAAATGAATATATTATAACCCATTATAGCACACATATATTTTTTTTTCAACCCCTTTTTCTCAGGGAATCCCATGCAGTGGACTTGGAGTTCTCAACTTTCAAAGCCATTTCTTTGCTGATTTTAGTTCTCCTTGTCAGTCCTTTAAACAATCCTCCTTCACCATCTTCACCTATACTTCTCATCAGCACATCCAACTGTCCACCCACTGATTAAACCATCACAGTGCATATTGCTTCCATCAATTGCTACTTCATCACTAGCAGAGCTCAGATGGGGGAAATGCTCTTATACCATTTTGATATTATGACACCATTATACATAGTTCCGTTTTTTATTTTTAATCTCAGTTTTCTTCAGTGTGTATGTCAAGTGTATTTCTTTATTTTCTTAATAAAAATGTATAACCAATTTCTCTAAGTGATATTGTGAAAAGACAGTTCCTCTTGCATACACTCACAGTTAGAAGAGAGAGAAAGAAAGGATTTTCTTTTATTTTCCTAATTTTCCATGTGCGTCAATCCCACTCAGAGGATATAAAGCTTTACACATTCATAGGCATTGTTTTGTGTGCACCATGGAAGCAGCCCCCCCTTGTGTTGCATATATGAATGAGATGCATATGTGATGAGGTTTTACAAAGGACATGGTTTTCCCCATGAAATCTATGACAGTGCTTTCCAGAAATAGAAGGGGAACTACTGCATTGGCTGAGTAGAACTATATTGACAAAGAACAGGTGGCAAAACTACTTGTAGCAGATATTCTCTTTTTTTTTTTTTTACTTTGCATTTTGGGAAAACTGGCACGTTCAGTGTCTTACAGTACTTTGTGCATTCAAACATATGCGTAAGTGTGCGTAAACACACACAGTCATGCACCTATACATGCATAGGCAGAGAGACAGCGAAGCAGGTAGGCGGTATGACGCAAGAAATATGAGTCACTTTGGTACAAAGCACACACCACTGTCTGAGTGTAACTTTTCCCAAGAACCCCTGTCCTCAGCACCAAGATTTTATTAAACCTTTTTAGGATTACAATTAGAAAGAGTTTCGAAAATACAAATATATGGCATTATTCTTTGGAGATATGATTATGTATCTTTCAGTTCTACTCTAATGTAAATAAACAATGCATAAAGGCTGTTATTAATATATATATTTATGTGTATTTATGTGTGTGCATATATATATATATATATATATATGTGTGTGTGTGTGTGTGTGTGTGTATATATATATCGCAGTACAATTTACAATGCTATTAATGGGCTGTCACTCAGCTTTTGTTCTACTTCAAATCCTTCCCCTGTTGTTCATCATGCTCACTTTCAGATTATTGTCCCATTTAAAAGTGTTGTTTGGATGATTTAAGCTACTTTTCACATGTTTCTACTGTAGAAAATCCTTTTAAATGTTTTTCTTATTTGATATTTCCTATAAACCAGTGTTTACCGTGACAGACAGGAGCTGTTCTGGCGGACACACATGCACAGGAACATGTGATGTTTACATAAATGAGCTTCTCTGCTTGACAATCCGACAATGATTCTCTTTTTACCTCTTTCATACTTTTATGTTCTTTACGGCTACTTATGATCACTTCAGACAGCAAAAAGTCCAGGGCCTTTCACTCATTTTTTTCTTCTTCAGCTTTTTTAAAATCCAGGGCTCCAGTATTGTTTACACTGTCAAATCCGGTTTGTTTCAGATTTGACCAGAGATAAGACCTAATTTGCCTGATACATGGTGATATATTGATTCCTCTATTTTATTGGACATAAAGCTGCAAAAATTGTGAGTAAAGTGAGTTAATGTAGTTCTCTATTATCTCAATTAATCGAGAATAAGAGATTAATGCCGAGTAATGTTTGAGAATAATTGCCCCTTAAAGCGGATGCAGATTTTGTTAGCAAACACAACTCTAGCCCTGGATTGTAGTCTCTCTCTCTTTCTCTCACACACACACATAAACTCTGCCCAGATGGGAGACAGATGTTTAATAGACGAGGTCAAGGAGTGCACACAGTAATTGTCTGCTCCAGCATCCCTCTGTATTCTTTGCATTTTTTCAGATCACCACATCCATCCACTTAAATCCTGGAAATTTCCTCTGGAATGGTAACCACGTCCTACTCTCACAGACCTATTTGTATTTCTTGTGTTGTTTTCTCTTTAGCACACACATACAGCAGTACTCCTCTTATGGTAAATTCAGTAGGACTCCTTACCAGCACAGGAATTTTCTTGACTAAAATAAAAAAAAAACTTTATTGTCTTGGGTGATGCTCTGATTATAGCAATCCAAAATTCTTGTTCCAACTTATTTGTCTCTTATTCTGAGCTCCTTTTCTAGCAGTTTCCCGAATGTTCAGAGAAACTGCTGACACCAAGTCTGGCTTACAAATGCTGAGTGGTGACGAAGAAGGAGAGGAGGAGAAGTTTCTAATCTCATTATCTCTACCTAAAGTAATCCAATAGAATCAACACCTCAAAGTAATCTCCACTCTTTTGTACTTGTACCCCACATATGATACACTTACGATATATGCTCACTAAATTAAGCGTAAAAAAAAATGTCGGACATGCAGGATACGCTGATGATTGGAACAGAGGGAATCAAGAAAACCATCCTGCACGGAGGGACCGGAGAAATCCCAAAATTCATCACTGGGGCGAAGGTACCGTCAGTTATTAAAGCTTTATTGACACTTTTTGATCAATTTAGAGCAATTCTCACGGTATCAGCCCAAAATTTTCGATTAATGTACACTGACACTTCTAAGTAAATTTACCATAAGAAGGTGTAAATTCATCTACATTTAGTTTGGTTATCTGCACTTCTAATAAAACTTTTCTATGCTTCGTGCAGGACTGGAGATGTGAAATAAAGTGAAATAGAACAAACAAAGCTACTTTCAAGGCTTTCAAAGTTACTTTTTTTTTTACAAATAGCTGTATGAACATGAAGCAGTTTTTTTTATTATATCAATTTCAAATGGGTTAAATGTGTCATAAATGTTTAAATGCACATGAAGTTCTGGAGCAGGGTGCTATCTTGCCGCTCAGCAGAGAAACTGTAAATAAGAATGCTCCCCCTTGTAAAGTGTAACAAATCAGACAAAAAAAGAAGTTGTTGCAGTTACTGCTGACATCCAGTAGAGGCTGATGAAGGACTTTTATACAGGACAGATTTCTTTTTTCTTTTTTTGAGCTTTAATTTATAGAAAATTACTCTTGCTTAGAATTTGAAAACCCCTTTCATATTTATATAAGTTAGACAGCTGTATTATTTTTGCCTTTTTATGTGTGCTTCCCTGACTTAACTGTATAAACATTCTCTGACATGTTATCACGGACATGTCGTGACAACCAAAGCCATTAAAATCCCACATGACAGGCATTGCTCATTAAAGGTAAATCCAGGTGTGCATTGATCCTTTAATATTTTTTCCATTGAATTTGCTTCACTGAACAAACTCTGTTTAGCCTTCCTCAAGTAGCTCAGATTCCTGACATTTTTGTGCAGTTGACAGTTTTTTTTTACTTGGGTTTCGCAACCCCATCTGTCAGCTGAGCTGTTTTCTGGTCCCATGTTTGCACACTTTTGCACACCATTTGATTTAATTACACTTTTCATCGTCTGCTCCTTTAGAACATACTATTTGACCCTTCTCTTTTTATGCCCCTTGAGTTGTCTCGAGGCCGATGACTCATACAAACCTTAACTCATCTCCAAAATGTCGCCATAATCTTCACCACACCTCCTGACCCTGTTGCTCCTTGTCGTGCTCTCAGGTGTCGTTCCATTTCCGCACCCAGCTGTGTGATGATGAGCGCACGGTGATAGATGACAGCAAGAGGGTGGGGACGCCCATGGAAATAGTGGTCGGCAACATGTTTAAACTGGACATCTGGGAGACTTTGTTGGCATCCATGAGGATTGGTGAGGTGGCAGAGTTCTGGTGTGACACAATTGTGAGTGCCGGAACAAAACATTCCATTACATGAGTATTTTTAATGTTATCATTCATCAATTATTAATCAGATATGTTTGTTTCCCATGGACATTAGCTATCTAAAACATATACACCTATATATCATAGCCAAGCATCTTAATGCAGACACATTACCCCTGGACATGCCTGGGCAGGTGTACCTTATTGAGGCAGGAATTTTATCGAGGAATTTTGCTACCTTGTATGTTTGTGTGTTGCACACTGTCAGAGACAGATGGGTTTGAGCGTATTGTCATTAATCCACAGCCGCTACACTCTCCCCTAATCGGCTCTGAATGTTGCTGAATCAGCACCACTGGCTCCCCTCCGCCGTGATTAGATTTGATGGCGCTTAGAGCATTTATTCACTCTGAATAACACGGTTGCTCCACTGGGGATGCACCGTCTGCTGCACCTTCACCCCCACCCAGCAGAGGGCAGTATCAACTTTGGAACCAAAAAAACATGCTGCTAGATTTGACTCAAAAATCTTAATCTCATTTAATATAGGTAGAGATTATTTTCAATTTCCTGGAACTCTTATGACCGTTCAGCATATTCCATGCACACACAGGCATTTATGTTAATAAGGGCACTTGCTTACATGAACGGGAGGTGAAAGATCTCATATATCCAGACCTTAATAGTTCTTTCAAACTTGTCAGAACCTGATCTTTATACATTTTTAGAATCATATTATTATCCTCTACATGATACTTAACATGATCTAAATGAGCCAACTGAGGCAGTGGAGGTGTTTCATGAGGTTTCCTGCCAGGAGAACATCTAGGTGTCAGGCCCAGGATCTGCTGGAGAGTTAATATCCCCTGGCTGGCTTGGTGTCCTTAGTCCCCTTCCAGAAAGACTGGATGGATAGACATTTTAAATCTATAAAAGCAATTAAATGACCACATCAGTGGGGAAATTTGTAGACACTGATGTAACAGCAACAGTTATTGTTTCCACTTAATGAAAATAATGTATGGCTATACACTGTAGGGTTACTTAAATCACTATGGGAGACCTTTTTCAGATACTTTTAAATCTTAGAAATAATCCAGCAATGGACATATAGCATGGCCTCATCTTTGAAAGGGGACCAGATCAGTCTGTCTATAATTTTTCAGATTCAGTGGCATGAAGTATAGCAGAAATTGTGTTTGTAGACAAAAAAACAGCTGATTAAATATCCCGGAAGCTTGAGGCCCGTATTGGATGGCCAGTCCTGAGCATTTGCTGATTTTAGTGTCTGAGAGAGAGGTATGGCAAGACAGGTGCAAACATAAACGAAAGGAATAAGCATCACTGGAATCACAGCTAATGCAATGGAATAACATTTTACTGCAGATTAGTGTAACATGATGCCATCCAACACAAGAAAGAGAACCAGACACAAAAGGAGGATCAAATTATTACTATTGCCATCAAAAAGAGTCTTTGTTGGCAAGTTGTTTATCCACTGTTGTTTTTTAAGAAACTTTAAGAGGTGATTATCTCCCCCCTCTAGCACACCGGGGCCTACCCACTTGTGTCCAAAGGTATGCGGCGCATTGCAGAGGGCAAAGACCCGGTGGACTGGCAGCTCCACACGTGTGGTATGGCCAACATGTTTGCATACCACACCCTTGGCTACGACGACCTGGATGAGCTGATGAAGGAACCGAAGCCTCTCTACTTTGTCATGGAGCTGCTTAGGGTGAGAACAACTTACATGCCTTCACTGGCTTGAAAATTCAATCTCCTACATTAGGGGAAACATCTAGGGCTGCGTTACATTCAGTTGGCATCTCAAAAAATAAATCCCGGGAACAGTATTATCAAAAGTGTATGATGGACGCCTGGAAAAATTCAAGTATGTGCATACAACCGACAGGTGCACCAGCCCAGTGAGTACAACAGGGAGACGTGGGCTATGAGTGATGAAGAGAGGCTGAAGGTGGTTCCAGTGCTGCACGGACAGGGAAACAAACTCTACAAACAGGGACGCTACGAAGACGCCACTCAGAAATACAAGGAGGCCATCATCTGCATCAAGAACGTTCAGACCAAGGTGATGGCAGGTCCAAGACGGTGGGCCTGTTGATTAGCTTTACTGAGCACAATAGCAGAATGTCCACACAGAGTGCGTAAACATGGGTATTAATTATATTCCCTTTTCAGGAGAAAGCGTGGGAAGTCCCCTGGATGAAGTTGGAAAAAATGGCAAACACTTTAACACTTAATTGCTGCCAGTGTCTACTCCGCATGGAAGAGTACTACGAGGTCATCGAGCACACCACAGACATTATCAACCAGCACCCAGGTCTGTCCCTCACACACACTGCTGTGATGTCATCTAACACAGACTAATCCCAGCCGGATGAATCTTTACTGTTTCTTCTGCCTTTTATATCTTGAACGTGCTTTCATTGTGTATTTGTGCTTGTGTGGACAGCATTTAATGGTAGCTGTAAATGTACATTTAATGCTACTATTAAACAGGCTTCAGCACACAAACCCCCCTTCACAGATCTGGTTCTAACAAAGTTTTTGAAACAGTTTTAAGCACTTTTTGCCTCAATGCAGAGGTACTCTTACATTAAGTGCAGCCATCAAACACAGATGTTCGTGTATATGCCTTGCAGGGACAGTTAAAGCCTTTTTCCTGAGAGCGAAGGCCCACGGGGAGGTGTGGAACGAGGCAGAGGCTCGGCAAGATTTCAGCAGGGTGCTGGACCTGGATCCTGGCATGAAGAAGGTGGTGAAGAAGGAACTGGCAGTGCTTAGCATGCGAATGGAGGAGAAGAACCAGGAAGACAAGACCAAGTATAAAGGCATGTTTTGAACCCTGGAGACAGAAGAGAGTCCCACAACACAGGAGCAAAAGTATAGTTACCTTCATAACTTACCTTCATACCTTCATACCTTCACCAGCTCTCAGCCGTGCATGGATCCTCTAAAACAGCGTGAAATAATCTGACTTAATAAATCAAAAAGCTCATACAAACACCCCCCTGTTTCTGTGCATCTCCTCTCAATCCAAATTGTTTGGAAGCCATTTTCTGTTTTACTAACGCCGGCATCTGTTTTGTAAACTATGTTTATTGAATAAATATCTGTTTTTGCACCACCTTGAAAAATGGAAGGAATAAAGCAGTCTAATAAACTAATAATAATGATGTTTCAAAGATATGTCAAAACAGGCCTCCTCCGGGTCTTGCAGATACTTTCAGTCTCCACAAGGTGGAGTTCTGGCGATTGGAATTGGATGAACTTGTGTCCCGATGGAGAGATTTTCCTCCACATCAGCAGGATTCACATCCTCACGAGGAGTCTGCGCCCTGTTAAGACAAAATAGATCCTAGAGCCCGTACCCCTCCTCCCCTCTCCTCTGTCTTGGGGGGCAGATGGACATCAAGGGTTTTTTGCTGCAAAGTGTTGAGCAACTGAAATCAAATGTGGAACGCAAACGTAAATGAGAGAGCACATTTGGAACATTACATTTCTGCACTGAAGGACCATTACACCGAGAGCTCAATTTCATTCAGGGAATCCCCTTTCATCGATGCGTACACTGCCCCCACCCCACTACCACAGATCACAGAGTGCGGCAGTCATCCTGGGAAAGAAGCTGATGCTACTGCACCAGTGGAAGAGAAAATCAATAACAGGAGCTGAAACAAAAAACTGAACCAAAATATTACAAAAAAAAAAAAACATGTGACGCGTTCTTCTGATTGCAACAACTTCTGTTTTGACCTGGATGCTCAGAAGGAAATAGAAGAGGTGGAAACTAAAGATGCAGTGCGTCTAAAAAAAAAATACATACGTAGTGTTTACTAAATACACACCAACATTTCCTCGGGGGTCCTTAGAAAACTGACTTAGGCCAAGTTGATTTATGGCGCATCCCTGCCGCTGTGTCCCCTCTGAAACTACGTCAGACTCTGCATAGCAACACAATCCTCCGCTGGCTCTCCTCCAGAAACCGCTGGTGCTGATGTTGGGAGGAGGAGAAGAAAGGGAGGAGGAGGAAAAGGAGGAGCACAAGAATGAGGGAGGAGGAGGAGGAGGAGGAGGAGGAGGAGGAGGAGGAGGAGGAGAGGGGGGATAATAGCGCTGCTTCATCCTGCACTGATACGAGTCAAGCTGACTGGAGAACAGTAGGTCAACACCGGAAGTTCGCGTTTCATGTTTACAAAACAAAACTATCAATGTTGTCAACTGTGTGACATGTCAAAAATTAAGACATATAATAACTTGGACTTTGAGGTTTAGCTTTTTCTTCCTTTCCTTTTAGTCAGTCTATATGGTTTTTAATCATATCTCAGACATGGTATATAAGTAACGCATCATTTGCTGCATCATTTTCTTCTCCGGCATTTGCTTTTCATTCCTTTTTGACATGCTTTTTACCTCATAGCCACAGAAACTGCTTCTATTCACACGATTGTAATCGCCACTAGGCCCCTGGTGCGTAAAAGTCCAGTGGCATGGAAGTGCAAACAGACATTACAAAAGCATCCTTGTGTGAGTCTGCACGTCAAAACGTCTCCCAAACAGATCTTTATTTGGTGTGTGCTCACCGGATATGCTCTTTTATAAATTCAGTGGCTTGGCAGTTACGGAGTGGTGTGTCCCAAGTTGAGAAGAGTGCTTCTGCGGTGTGCAGCAGACAGACTGGAAAGTGGCTCTTAGGGGGTTCAGTTTTGTGTGAGAGGCGTCTCCTTTATCCCAGTTTCTTATTTCTACGTTAAAGGGGGGGCAACAAAAACTCTTAAGGCACGTTGCAATGCACAGACACAGTTAAAGGGCAGTAGTGGGACTGGATTACAGCGGAATATCTGGATACATCAGACAGGAAGGGGACTTTGTTTTTCCCATCTCTGAGCCCTGTTGGAATTGTCTCAGGCGGAGGAGCGAGAAAAGGAAAAAAGCAATCTAGAGGATGAAAGATATCTGGGAAAACCTCTGTGGTGGCATCTGATTTCGTTGGTGTATTTTGTTAATTATATCCAAAATCGCAATCCAAGCCACTTTTAAGAAAATCTCTTTTGGGGGGGGGCGGGGCGCGCTCATCCTATTTGTTAGTGTGTTCCATCAAAGTCTTCCAGTGTGACAGATCAGCTTAAAAAAAACGAGTTTTCAGCTATGTTATGGAAGTTCTAAAGTCTTTTAATTAGTTTTTCAACCTGGTTTCAAATAGCCTGCTGACATTTTTACGATTTAGCTGAGAGTTGAATGAACATGGCCATTAACACGGACACCGACTTCCAGAAGTCCAACTTGGGGGAGGGCGGGGGGGGCGCCCGCCCCGCGGACTTCCAGGAGACGGAGAAACTCCTCGCCGTGACCACCGAGCCCGGAGGCAACGGAATGAAGATGTCCACCTCCTTCACCGTCAACGTGGGCAGCGACAAGGGCCTGGAGGCGGACCAGAACGGCCACGGCGTGGCGCTGAGGTCCGGCTCCACCGGTCAGCTGTCCGCCGCCGCCCCCCTGTCCCCGTCCAGGGCCAGCCTGAGCCGCTCCTCCACCGGGAACGCCGGCGTGCAGGAGACCCCCAAGCCCAAAGATTACCTCATCCTGGTCATCTTCTCCTGCTTCTGCCCGGTCTGGCCCGTCAGCATTGTCGCACTGGTCTACTCCATCATGGTGAGTAGGACTGCTGCACACCTACTAAAACAAAGATCCTATAGAGATGGGACTCCAGGGGCTTCATATCTGACAGGGTGTAAGTCAGATTATCCTGCTGTTTTGATGGGAAACCTAGATATAATCTACTTTTAAAAGGGATCCATAAAAAGAACATTTGAAATGGAACAACCAAGGTGTGCTTTCCTTATATTCTGGCTATATTCTGTCAAACCAATCATCCCAAATGAGCTTATCTGATTCAAATCCAAGTTAAATTCATGTTTTATTTTTTATAAAAAAGAAAGAAGAAAGCCCCAAATCCTGCAAATGGGACTCAGACACACCCAATCACACTCTTGTATAGTGCCTCCTCAGCTTTTTTTTCACTGCTGGAGCTTTACACGGCCTCCCTCCTGCCGCTAACTGTCTGCAGCCAGGCTGTTCTGCTTGGGAAGCACGTGAAACATGATTGATCCTTTTGAGAAAAGTTCCAGGTGGCTGGAAAGGCTGATACATGACAGCTAAGGGCGCTAACACCACCCCGGGCGGCCTCAGACGCTTGGCATGCTGTCACTGTGGGGTGCCTAAAATGTCAGTCACAGTGTGTGTGCCAGGAGTGGGCAGCTCCGGCTCTGGACAGCCGACGTCCGGCAGGTTTTAGAGGTCTCCCAACACAACCGGTTCACATCAACACAACATCAGCCGTCCTGTTCAGAGAAGAGATAAGTTTTTTTTATCTGAATCAGGTTCTTAAAAGCAGGGAAACCTCTGAAAACCTGCCGGACGGCGGCTCTCCGAGCCCAGAGATGCCCACCCCTGGTGTATTGTGGGTTGTATTCCTTTTGTGATCCCCATTTGAATCTCACTAACTTCAAGGAGGGTGTTGTTAATAAAAACTGAGAGACAGAAGCGCATCATTTCAGTGTGCATGTGTAAAAGTTAGAGACTGTCCGTCTGCATGCTGTCATCCAAAGTATTCTTCAAAAGTTCATCCCTCTCTCTTTTTGAAGTCGTTTTGTCGAATTGTTTTCACTTAGAATATCTATAACTTCTTTTTCTTTTTTACTATTGTCATGTTTTCAGTCACGTACATGTAGAAAGAGGTGAAAAAAATCAGGTAGTCGTCTGAAAAATTTCCCGTTAAGGAACTGCAATGTGAATTCAGGTCAATTTACGTCAAGCGTATGTTATTCTCGCATTAGGAGAAACAATGTCTGTATGTGTCAAAACATGTTCGGAATAATGTCCCCCTGCTGGTAACTTCATCCTTCCCTGCTGCATAGCTCACAGGAATCAGATGCTGCCAAGTCACTGTGTGTAAATCAAGCAGAGCCCCCCCCCGTCCATGTTACTGCGCCTGTGTGAAGTGGCCTCTTCAGAGGATTTCATCCATCCACATCAGCAACATTTGCTTAATTATTTTGCCAATGGTAGAAGAGTGACATATTTAACTTACCGATCTCACTATGTATGTCTCAGTTTCACATTTGTCTTTGAATAAGCTTGTATTAGTATTAGCTTGTATTACAATTTAAAAAAAAGCAGAGATTGGAGAGGTTCGTCCTAAAAAGTGAGGCTTAGCTTCACTGTCTCAGCCAGCCAACACCTTAATTCATTACATCGTTACGTTCTTCTTCCTCAAGCTGCCAGAGCTTGAAGTTCCAGCATTATTCATATAGATCTGGAAAAAGTAAAAGGAGAAGTCTGTTTAATGATAGCAGTGAAATGGGTTCATCTGTATTTCAATTAGGTAAAAGCCCAAGCAGCTTTTACTCTATTTGTTAACCAACTGTGTTATGTGTGATCCATCGTGTTATATAGTCTGATCAGGATTAAAGAATAAACTAAAATAATCCTTTTTTTTTATTTGGTCATCAGAAAATGCTAGATTCTTAGGGGCTTATTAATATTTCAACATTTGGAATTTTACTTTCTGTACAATATTCCCAGAACCTTTGTAATCATAAGATAATTCTTTTTTTTTAAGTAAATTCAGAATATTTTGTGAAAAAAACAACAGAAAATCCACTTCTTTCAGTGTTTGCTTTACTCGCAGTCAACTGGCTCATATTATCTGGTACTATTCTGTAAAGAGTCTTTTAGTGGCGTCAGCTGTAGCATTGTTATAGTTTAAAAACCTTTTGGCTGATTGTCGTATCACAGGGTCAGAGGAAATGTAGCAAACTCATTTCAGTAAAGAAATAAGTTCTGTAATATCACTTCTGCTCCAACAGGATATCAGCATCTCCGTGACAGCCAGTGCCCCTCCCCCCAACACACACACACACACACACCCACCACCATCACGCTCTCCCTGACATTCACAAGTCAGCCGCTTGCTAATGGCATTGAGAGGGAGAGGCTTTGACAGAGGGCAGAAGAAAGAAAAGTGAAGGAGGAGGAAACTGGAGCTGGCCACTAACTCGATAGAAGGCGAGAGAAGTCAATTTAGTTTCTCTGCAGAGGGCAGATTGCAGCAGTTAGCCAGCTCGGTGGCAACGATAAACATCCTCTATCTTTCCTGGGGGTACGGAAAGGGGATACGGGCCTCCCGAAGAAGATCAAAACATCATTCTGTACAAGGGCAGACGGGTGCGAGAGAGGCTGCAAATGGCCATAAAGTAGTTCCCATGACTTGATTAAAAAGAGCCGAATCAGATACCAGAGGGATGTCAGATAAGTGCAAGTGAGTCAGAGGGGCAAAACAGAATGTAGGCAGTGAACAAATGAATGAAAAGTAATGTGGTTGATACCACATGATAAAGCTTTAGAGTGCAAGACCACCGCTAAGTGCTGATCCTCGCGTGGCCCCAGTGAAACAGATACTTGTGGAGAGCTGGATAGAGAAATGTTATAATGGGCTCAATAATAGGGAGGAAACCATCCAGACTCCAGGAAACTGTGGCAAAAGCAGAAACCGACAGTTTTAGAGAAATAAGTAGGAACTTTTTTAGGTGTGGCAAAAGGTAGAGTCAGCCGTCTTACTTCGGACTAAGGTCAGGACTAAGGTTCAGTTCATTTCAGTTCAGTTTGTCCACAGCTTCACTTTTCTGTTTATGCGGATAAACCATTGTTGTTTTATTATATAAGGGAACACAATGTAGTTTTCTTCTTAAGAGAGCTTTGTATCTTATATACACCCACAGGAAAAGCCTCACAAGAGACCTTACAAGTGTAATAACAAATGCAAACCTGACCACGCAGTTTCGTCTTTTTAATTTCTTTGCATTTTTCAATATCTTTATGAGATTTCAAAGAGGTGGCTTTAAAGGGTGTAACAGGTTCCTGTACAGATGGGTGACATCATTGACTCACCTGTGCTTTCAGGACCTGAACTGATGGTTTAACATGGAACCAGAAATCAGTTCCAACACGCAGAGAGAATTCTGTGACGTTAGTGGACGTCTCCCCATAAATCTATCCCTTCTTCTCCCTTTAAAAAATCAAAAGTGCAAGAGACATTGAAACGAATTGAAAGAATTGAAACAGAAAACATCTGACGCCGTACAGCACGCTGACACTGAAGCACATTCAAACAAAAAAAGTTTCAAATTAAACAGAAATGTAAACATTGAAATTTGAAATAAAAAAATTAATTAAACCATAAGAAATTTCCATTGAAATATCCATCAAAAGATGACTGCTCTGCTTCTAACATGTCTTTGGCTGATAGCTAATAGTCATAAAAAAAAGTGTAAAGAAAGTAAAAAAGGCTCTCGTAAAGAAGTTACTTAGGGATTGACAATGTCAGTGATCGTGGAAGAGGATAAAGTAGAATTTAGCATGAGAACCTTTTTAGCCAGCTCGCCCTCTCGCTCGCTCAGCCAAAAAGATGGAGGGTGTTGGCGGAGGATGAGGAGTTGCTGTCAGACAGACTGAGTCCCCGCAGCAGCCCTCTGTCCCGGCCATTTTCTGCCTGTGATCTACCGATTCATTTGACTTTCGACCCTTTTTCATGAGAACTCACAAATCTCTGTGTTGAAATTGTTTTCATCTTCTTTTATTTGACATACATTTAGTTGTCGCCCTTTAGAATGACTCAGCAAAAATTAGAGGCGTCTCAGTCATTTCTGAACTGCTTACAATCCTTCTAGAGCTGTTTTTCTAATATTTAACATTTCTAAGGAGATCTGATCCTTCTGGTGTTTTGCCTTTGTGCCCTTCAGCTTTTTCGCTGCTCATAGTTCAGTTTCTTTAGCGTCTTCTGGTCCATTCGTTCAACAGATCCCAGGAACTCGCTTTAACACTGTTAGTTAATCATGTTGCTGCTGATATATACACACTGTTAGTTCCAGCTGCTTATATTTTTACAGCCATATATGTGCTTATAGTATACATACTGATAGTTTCTAATCATCATTTTCCATACATAATGATTTATTCTGGAATAGCTCCCTACTTGATCCACTTTTTACTGGCTTAGTTATCCTGATGATATCACAATTTTTGTATCGGTTTATTTACATATTCATTTATAAATCACAGTAAGGATATTTCTAATTCTAAATCTGTTTCCACAATGTTCTAATATGCAACTTTGGAGAATCTGTTGTGACCTGTATGAGTGGACGGTGAATTGTCAGCATGAGGAGAAAGTGAAGTCCATCATCATTTAGCAACACCTCCAACAGCAACCACGTTCTAAAAGCTAACTTCGAGCCGGCTGTAGCCACAGATCACAGACAGATGCTCTGGAGGGGAAGGCTGGAAAATACAGAAGATATGAAGGCAATTATGGGAATTGGAGAGGTTGGGGTAATAGGTTTTTACAGCCCAGACTAGCCTATCCTAGTAATGGGAATGCCCAAACTGCAGGAGCATTACTGCACGCTCGGCAGATTTGCTTGTAAAATATGGAGACGCAGTGCTTCACCGGGGGAACAACTGGTGGTGTGTGCACGTGGGTGTGAGTAGCTACAGCACTTATTACTTGAAGTGAAATACTGAGAAAGAGCACATGTACATATGGGTATTGCATCTCATAGAAAGGAACTTAATATCTGATTTCCATTTAGTTAAATTTAGTTTATTATAGTTTATGTTATCATTTGGGACTATTTTCATATTTCTCACAACTTGTAGTCTTTGTCATGTACATTTTAAGATGTAGAGCACTGCCCTTATTTTCTACTCTTTCGGTGAATTGAATTTCATGGTCTTTATTACTTGCAATTATTACATGCCACTGTGGATAATTTTTTTAGAATTAGATGATTTTTATTATTATCTTATCTTCCTAAGACCCTGCGTCCTCATACGAGGACATTGTATTTTTGCCTCTCTTTACCATGACACTTCTTTTATCTTTCGACTTTGACCCATTGGCCTGACAGTAGACGAAATCAAATACTGCTGTTTGAAATGTAAAGAAATGTATTTTTATACATTTTCAACCAATCATGTTCTTATTGTGTAATCACAATTTAGTTAAAAAAAGAAACAAATTGCTAAATCATTTAATTAAATATGTAAATAAATATTAAATATGTAATTATATGTTAAATACTGTATATAAACAAACATTTTAACAACCCCACTGAGCCTATACGAAGAAAAACTACCTGTACCATGACAACATCTAGTTATTAAACTTATTTGGTCCTACAAATCCCATTAATCTTGAATAAAACAAAAATGCACACCAAGTAAAAGCTCGGGTCTCGGGAGGTTAAGATGGTATATTTATGCAATAACCTGTGGACATAAGTGAATTATGTGGAATGCTAATACCTGATGAATAACAATCAGGCACCAGCCATGCTTTGCAAAGCGTGGTGATTAGGTGTCATTAGGCTTCTAGGAGCTATTGTAAGCCTTAAAGCTCTTCAAGACTCAAAGCAATTTCTTCTCAGCAAATGTTATTCATTGCTAATAAGGTCATTAATCAGTACATTATCAGTTCTTCTTTTCTGTGGCACTTGTGGAGTTATAATGTAATATATAAAGAGGAACATCGAGTCACAATTGACAAAAAAAAAATTCAGTATGGACATATAATACTGACATCGTGCTGAAATTTGTCGTAAGAAATTTCATTAAACTCCTGGAATAGTAGTGGTGGTTGGCATGTCTGCCAAAAAGTTGTACTTTCCATTTCACAATGACAGTTTTATGAGCACCTGGCACAGTCCGGCTGTAGATGACCGCTGAACAGCGGACAGTTGGTTTAAGCTCAACACCTGACTTCTATATGGCGTCTTTAGCTCAGTTCAGTGTTTGTCCAGTGAGCACATCAGTCTGCAAATGTGTTGTTATTGCAGCGGCAACTGCTTTTTACAAAATTGACACAACTTCCACACATTTGTTGGTTGCTTTATCACTTACAGTATGAAAGTATGTCATCATATGTTCTCTTGTTATTCAATTAAATAATTTCCCTTTGGTTGACCTCAATAGTCAGCCTTTTCACTTAGCTCATTTTTACAGAGGGGTCAGTATGGACATTTTCACTGGGATTTAACCTATAGATAATAGTTTAACTCATCTCATGTAATAGAAATAATCAAACAAGACGGGGCTGTAAATATATACCATTACAGCCTCATACTTTTATGTAGCTAGCCTAAGAGTGACTTCATTTAACTACTTTTCCATTCAAAAGATGACAAATTAAATGCAGTTCAAATTTATGAGGTGCAGCAATTAATAATCATCTTGACAGTGACACATTTGATCATTTGGCCGCACTGAAAGGTTTGAAATTTTAATGGAGAGTCTACTTCCAAAAGACTGAAGCTAAAAACTTCCACGTACATCATGATGTGAACCGACTGATTTGAACTAAAAGACTAAGAAACCTACCAACATAATTTAGCTTTCTTTCTTAAAGATTATTTAAACTTTAAACTATTTTAATTCAATGTTTAATGTTAGAAGCTCTTGTCAAGTTTAGTTAAAGTTAAGATAGAGTTAGATAAAGGTAAAAGCATGCAGATGTGTGAGGAGAAACCAAACGTTTTGCAGAAAATAAAAGATGTGTATACATATGAACCTTTTTAATTTGGTGACAATGGTCAAACTGGCTTGTTGGGTGTGCGCTGCGCCTTTCCACCAGACTGCTGCTGGCTCTCCATTATTAATGACCTGAGAGAGAAAAGGAGCACTTACCGCCTTTCCAGCCTCCAGCTTCCTCTGCAGAACACACGGGTGAGCATGAGTGGAGTGTCAACGGGGTGTAAGACGGTGTGGCTGATGTCAGTACACAGTAGGCATTCAAGACATTTTGAGGGTAGAATTTCCTATTCTGAAAACAAATGTGTCCAGGCATTCTAATGGTCAGATCAATAAAGACACTAATCAGTCAGCACATGGAGCTTGTCACTAACCCGCTCTCACTCAGAGACACCCTCAGGCTCTTGAAGCCTTTGACGAAACCTAAACAGAAAAATGACTGTAAACAGAATTTACGGCACCGAAAACCTTTCCTAGTTTCTTCCGCACCCTTTCACGAATGATTGATATTTGCATCTTCTTAAACCTCCCTTTTTAATTAAGGTTTGTTCTCTCAGAAAGCTGAATAGGGAGTGTTTTCTGAAAGGGACTTGCATTGATCCAAGGTGCTGATTCTGCTCTACTCTGTGATGTGAGTCCGGATCAATACAAGCTCCAGTGGGATATTGGGCCATTGCTTCATGTTGCAGCCTCAGAGGTGAGACTCCGGAGTGTGTCTGAGAGTTTGAGCGAAAGGAGGAGGAATTCTCAATCAGCTTTTAGCAAGTCAAGTTGAAATAATCAGTTCGTTTGACTTAAAGTCACATTGAAATATTTTCCTATTGTTTTTTACTTATTCTACAGTCCTTTTTTGTGAGTTCTTCCAAACCTAAAAAAAAATATCAATATTTTTCAACGATGATCAGTAGATAAGTTGACAGGACATCAAACTAAAGCACAGACTTGTATGTATGACAATCTTTAAAAAAGCCCATTGGGAAACTAAAATAAATTCAAACTCAAATTAAAAGTTGCGTCAGATAAATGGTGTCTTTCCCAAACAAACAACAGACAACCTGAATGCATTCTAGTGTGTTTATGGGCGACATGACAGTAACTCCCCACTCCAGAGGGATCGGCGGACCACCCGGCCTGGACAATAAGCGCTGTTAGAACCGACTGCCCGAGACAGCCCGGAGACAGATAGGCTCATGGGAGCAAAAGGATGAAGTAACCAGGAGGTGATAAAGGAGGATGGTGGAAGGGCTTTTTCCTTTTCTCTCTCCTTTTCTCCGCAGTGAAATGTCATCTGATAGTGAGGCTAACCAAACTCATTAATCTCAGTGGGGAGGGAGTCCATGAAGCAATACGATACACACCCTGTTACACACTGTGTGTTTCCGGTGTGCTTCCTTGTTGTTTTTGTTTAGTTTTGGGTTTCTTATTTGAAGTAAAGAAACATCCGCATTGCTTTCACATCCTGTGTGATCCAATTTAATTTGTGATTAGGTTGAATGTATTTGATATTTAATATTACAGTATTTTATGCACAGAATGTATGCATCTGAAGATACAGCTGCATTATTCAGCACAGATGGAGGAGTGGAAATACCCCGCTTCCGGCTGTACTTCGGAACATATTCAGCACCATGGACAGCTCTTTTTCATCAGCCCTTGAGTTCAAGCCTTCGGCCGTTTCGTGTCCGGGCGTCCTCTGTAGCCTCATTTGAGGCTTGAACCTCTTCGTGTTTAACACTTTCCCTCAAATTTTAGTTAAATAAATGAGTTCCAATTGAAAGCAATGCAGAAAAACAGCCTCTGTTCACTAACACATGATGGGATAAGTCAGATTCGGGAGGCGTTATCAGGTATCTGGGAGTTAAGATGATCATTCTTGACCTAAATCTGTCGTAAATTTATGTAATAAGTCTATTCAATAATAGTTCAAAACAATCCTCTATGATAAGCAGTAGTGGGGTTTGTGTTGTGGGTGCTGTGTTCCTGGTTCAAATCCTTTTAGAATGATTACCGTGCAGATTTATGAATCGCTAGAACACTTGGAATCAGTTTTTCAATTGAAAGCAGACAGATTCAAAGATCAAATTGAAGACTAAATGAACTGACAGGAGCACAAAGGCTTTGCTTCAATGGGGCTCCGTCATGACACCATATGCCAGGATTGAAGATTCCCATTCATCAAGTCTCACACACGCGCACATAAATCACTCTGTCTGTGATTCTGCGGCACACAGAAAGCAATACACATCCAGCATAAAAATGATATACAACCCCTTCACACTGCCATGCTCTCAGCTACTCCATCCAATTGGCTCTGCATGTTACAATAGTCAATCAATCCACATCTGAAATAGACTATTTCACCACTGACAGCAGGCTTATAAAAAATTGTTGGCATTCTAGCTCTAACAGCAGTGTCGGTTCCAGAAATGTCAGCATTGCTGTACAGCGTGTGTCCCATTTTCTCTTTCTTTCAAGTGATGGAAAACCACCTAATAACTCTTTTAACTTGTGATGTCAGATGGTTGGTCATTATTTTACAGTCTAATTAAATGAAGCCTGTCTCTTTTCACTTATCTCATCGTCTATTGTGGAAATCCCTTATATTCAGGATGGGTCATATGTAAATGAGGTGCTCTCCATTGTGAAATGTGAATTTTCTGGCTAACAAAAGACTCAAACTAGAGATTTTCTCATAAGAGCCGGAGTTCAACAAGGATGGTATCACACTGCCATGACACGATGCTGATTTTCAGATTTGCATTTCCTTCACTTCTGCCGTCGAGTCTCTGCACTAATTGAAAGACTGAGGCCGTAACGCTCTTTTTCTGTGTCCTCAGTCCAGAAACAGTCTCCAGGCCGGGGACATCGATGGGGCCAGGAGGCTGGGGCGACTGGCTCGCCTGCTCAGCATCGTCTCGTTTGTCCTGGGAGTGGTCATCATCGTAGTGTTCGTCTCCGTTCAGATCTCAGGTACGGCAACAACGACATTTATCTAAGATAAAGTGGCCCTCGATGTGTGATGTACTGGAAATGAGTTGAATCAATTTTTTTTAATCATAAGACGCGTGCACGGGCCTTTAAACGTGCCGAAACAGCAAATATTCATCAACAGAAGGGGCCTACTACATTACCATTACATGGTGATATACGATAGGGGATATGTGACACCATCACCAGCGTGTGGTGTGCCGTCTTTATCCATATGCAGCACATTTCCAGCCAGTGTGTGTGTAATGATCTAATACTTCAGCAACTGTAGTGGACAAACTTTCAACACTTTAGCAACACATGTCCTAATAATGGTTATAAAGAGTTCCTAAAACTGTCCCCTCTGTCTTCCTCCCTCTTTTTTGTTTTATTTTGTAGCTGGGAAGCATTGACCTGGAGGACTGTAGAGCCAAACCAGAAATTCAGCAAAGGAAAAAAAAGACCACTTCAAGAAAAACAAAAACCGATCGAAAACTATTTCATAATGTAGTGACATCATGGCCAATTACCAGAAAAGAAAAAAATAGAATATGTGGAGAGTCACGAGAGATGGTTTTGCAGCAAGTAAACAAATAGGAACAATATTCTGAGATGCATGCATTAGAATTGTGTAACATTTGCTTGAAAAGAAATATCCTTATGTGAATTGGTCAGGTTCAAACAGTAAAATGTAAGTAGAGATGTATTTGAGAGGTCAGGAGGGGCTTTTAGGTACACGGACTTCTTGAAATGAAGAAGATTTGCATACAAAGAGAGAGAATTATGGACTTTTTTATGCCTGGGATGGAGTTTATTATGAACAGAAATATCTGTATTTGTCCTCAAACTTGGGAAAGTTGCATTTAACCCTCATATATATTCCTGACTGAATCTGAATCTCCTATATTTAAAGTATATTCAAACATATTTGAAATATGGATATATGAGTATATAAACATGCATTGTATATGTACATTTTTTAAATGTTTGTATGCCACGTGGTGCTGAGTTTGTTAAGACCGTCGATATGGCTGTTTTGTCTGCACTTGGAGTTTTAATGTAAATTCTAATTCGTGAGAGGGGGCAAGGAAGACCTTTTATTTTGATTTTTTAACCAAGTACAATTTTTTTCCAAACTAAACTGATTTAACCAACCGCATGCCTGAATGTACATAATCAATTTGCCTTCTTTTGGACTGTTATTAGTTGTTCTAATGTCAAGGGGCTAGCAGATTTGCACATGGAACTAAGAACCACACGAGAAGACACAAGGACTGTGATTTAACCCAGCGACACCCTCCACTTCTCCAGAATCTCTTTATCTCGCTTTGCTCTCGCAAAGACAGAAAGGCATTCCAAATGCATCGCCACGCCTTCATCCCACACCCCACCTTAGTGACTGGTGCCAGCCCCCCCCTCAGTTTAGTCTCCACTCCTTCATCTCATACCTTTATGCTCCTTTATACATTTTACATTTGCAACCTTTCTACACCATCGCTCCCCATATTCCATGAACATTCTTATATTACACCGACTGTTAAACCTTTTTTTTTCTTCTTTGTGTCCGTGAAAAAGTATTTATATGACAAAATATATATACAATATGCACGCATGCTATGGGCCAAACAGGCTGATGCACACTTATTTTTGTAAATGAGTGGATCACTGAGTTAAAAAATAGCATTTAAAGAAATATTCTTAAAATCCAAGCACGACAAATTGGATTCCTCACTTCAAGGGTAAACTTAACGTATTAACTTCCACCTACAGATACAGAGGACTGTTGTATTGACATATGACACTGGCTTATACCATAATAAAAGGACCATAATAATCACAGTGAAACCATGTTGCAATATGTTAATGCTGTCTGTTTTTCTTTTGATGCTAAAGATTTAGTCTCCAATGCAAATTGAAATCCCAAAACATCTGGGGGAAAAAATTTACTTTTAAAAAATCGATGTCATTTGTTGAGTTCCAATGGTTGTTGAAGGGCTCCTAGAACTGAAACACCAGCTAAGCAATGATGCTAACATGGACATAAAACTGAACGTCATCCGTGTAAAGATGTGCAAATCTGGCCAAGTAAACCCTATTTAGCACACTCATTTTGCAAAATTTGCTTTTCTGTTTTTTAAACCACTGTAAGAAAGATCACTTTCAAGTACCAACAAGCAGCAAAATCCAAAGATCCCCAACGTTCATTGACTGGAACTGCTTTACTATCCACTCGCATCTAAATGTGACCGTCCTTGGAACTGATGGTCTGGAGCCAGCTATCTGGCCTAATCACTGCTCTGTCAGTAACAGAGTTACAAACAGTTCAAAACTTCCACTCATCTCTATGTACTGCTGTTTGTTTTTTTTTCCTGTACTCTGTATGTGACGGTTCTCATCTCTATGGTGTACATTTTGCATGTCAGGAATAAATGTTACCACGCATGGTCCCAGTTTTTGTCTCTCAATGGTATTTATAGATGCGTAATGCCACAGTTGTGCCATTATTCATACTTAATAAGCCTTTTTCCTCAACATCTGGAGAGTAACAAATATAAATAAATAAATACAAAATTAATTATACCATCTTATTCCAATGAGCCAGACATAAATCTGAGGACGGAGCTCTATTGCCAGGCGATACACTTCCATTTTGCAGAGGCAAGGTGCCCCTTCTTTATTAAGATGAACAAGGTATTTAAATGGCCACTTCCCTTTGATGAGAGACGAGGGGCACATACCAACAAGAATGACAAGAGTTAGAACCGAGTAATGGCGGCACGGGGATGAACTGGCACTGTACTGAGAAGAAAAAAAATGGTTGAGTATCGTTTGATCGTTGCTGCTTGAGCAACAGCCTACCAAGAGTTATTTCATCCTCATAGGAGTTTGAACATCCAGTGAGAATTCCTCACATTTTCAGTATCTGTGCATCGGGTCATTTCATCACATATTAGCTCATCTACACCAACAGAGCTCCAAAAAATAAAACACACAATCTAATCGTGAGAAATGGCATGAAATGTCCCAAGCAAGATGTGCACACAGCCTAAAGGCTTTTCAATCTCCCTGGACTTGAAAGAAATTGGTGCCACGAACCCGTACGCAATAGAATATAACATTGCATCTGTAAGGGGAAAAATGTCTGCAATGCTCAGTTTTTATGGAGAGAGATGCAGAGGGATTGATTTAGCTTTCTGTTATGGCTGCAGTCTGCAGTTATATTGGATTGGGCTATATTGCACGGCGGTTGCTTTTATTATGCCTGAACTCTGAACACGCCGCAGCTCTTGATACACAATTTGGCAGCAGAGACAGCAAACACCATTTATCATGGCAGCCGCATTCCAGAATGAAGATGGCGGAGAAGAGGGGGGGGGGGGGGGGGGGGGGGGGGGGGGGGATGAACCCGTCGAGGGTTGTTGGTTTTAAAGCCGGCATGTCCTGCGCTCCAGCAGTCCTGAGCAAACCACACCACACCACACCACACCACACCATGGAAAAGCAGGGCATAGATTCACTCTTTTTTTCTTTTTTTTGAGCACGTAGCTCTTAAAAAAGCTGACCTATGACAAACAAAAAAAAGTCCTTTGACCTAATATCTGTTTGAGTACTATCAAACCGGGAAGTATTGTATACGTAGAAAAATTATCTTTCAAAGAGAACATACAGAAACAAAATAAAAGGGTGAAAATGCGTTCAACAGAGCAGAATCAGCTTCACACAGACACGGGCCGGAGCTCCTGGAGCGGGACACGTCTGAGTGAGAGGATGTGGGGTGCTTAGTTCTGCATGGGTGGCGGTCGCTGGCAGGGGGCTGAAATATTCAGGAGTTGCACCTCAGCAGACCTCTGACATTGTGTACAAACATCTTATCCAAATTTAGACTCAAGCACGGGGTCTCCCTGCTGTTAAAAAATAAAGGATAGAAAAAAAAAAAGGCTGACATTCAAAAAAGCCAAATCAGCATTAAAAAATTATAAAAAGTGAGTTTTTGAGTCTCATCGAGGAAAAAGAGGGCAAGAAACTAAGTTTTTCCTTTTGTGTACACTGAAGTGAGCTAATATTATTTAGCTTATTTATTCATTTCTTTGAGACGTTTCTCACAAATCCATCTCATTCTTAAAATCTAGTTCCCACTCAAAGTAAGACCATAATCGAATGAGTTTAAGCCCTTCTGCGGCCATGTATCGTTTCAGTTTTACTCAGTAGAGCCCTCCCTTTATGCACACGCTACTGTGATCAGTGCAGATTTAAACCAAGTGACAAAACACAAACAACATCTGCTGGGTGTGCAATAGGAGGAGGAGGGTGAAATAGCTAACTTTCCTAGAAGGCATTCATCCGGCATTGTTCCGTTTTCAATCTTCTCCCACAGAGACCTTGAAGGGCTGCGCACAGAGAAATGGGCTGTAACTGATGACATTGCACCACTCTTCAGAGAGAAGGGAGCCAAGAAGCTCATTCCCAGTGACTTTGAGAACTCCGTCATAACTGTAATTACAGACTGACTGAAACTCTGAACGGCTCTCCAGACAGCTACGGGCCGACTGTCTCCCAGTCAGTCTTACATAGACACTCTTGTTATTTTGTATTTGGGATTTAGCTGGACTGTAGTTTAAATTGCATTACTACTGATGCTGCCTCTAAAACACATCTGGCTCCAACGGAATGAGATTAAAACCTTCCTAATTCTCCTCAGATACCAAGTCAGTCGATTCCCTACTAATCGTAATGATGCGATGGGCTGGATCCACTTCTGGAGCTACACATATTGAATATTAAGTCACAAATCCAACTCCTTTGTTCTGTCTAAACGACAAGGCTGATATGAGGTTCAGAACAGCACTTTTCAAACCACTGACTGATATCTTAGTGGCTCGACTTTGAAAGTAAAGCCATTTGTTTAAAAAAATTAACAGGAAATATTTGAGCACTTAAAAGTCTAAAAGCTCAAAAAGAAACTAAGCCGATCTGCTGATAATCATGGTGGAACTCTACCAATCGAGAACTTTGATTGAACATATTGTATTAAAAAGATTGAATAAATTCGGAAATTGTTAAAAACGTCCACTAGATTTGTTTGTGTTTTTTTTCAGGCTTACACTCAAATTGTACAAAAGGAAACGTCGCAAATATTCACTCACTTCAAAGTAACTATGGAGGCTTTGGTTTTGTCTGTGCTTATTAGTTCCTCCTACACTGCCAAAGCCCTCAGCTGTATGAGTTCATGTACACTGTATGTGCAAGGTGGTTTCTATACATGTGCCGGGCATTTTAAATATCACGTGACCATCAAGCACAACCAAAACCTCAAAGCTGGGGACTGCGACAGCCGAGCCCTTAAGGATGTGTCAGGATGTGAAGAGGCCGGGGGGGAGGTAAAATATCTTGTGACCGGGTTGGTGAGAACTGGAGGAGACTGTTGAGATGAAGGAGGTTGGATTGTTGTCCCTGCAGAGAGCTAGATCCCGAGAGGTAATGACATGTTTAAATGTAACCCTAAAAGTGTTGCACGCTTTCTCTTTTACACATAATTACAGGAATAATTTATTAATTCACATTTTACAGCTCACAATAAACCATCAAATAAATCCCACTTCATCGATTAATAAAAACATTCACGGGGGGGGAAAAAAGAAAGAAAAAAAAAAGGAACCCTTCGACCAAATGTGATGCATCACTGCATCAGTCTCTTTTGGCTTTCAGAGTTTCGGTTTATTAATTAGCGATGTACTTTTTTTCTTCTTCTCAAAAATATGGTTTTAATATGTAGTGTTGGTCTCCACTGCCTTTGTTGGAAGGAGAATACCTAACCTCATATGCTCCATCTGGGGCACTGTTAAACACAGGCTCAGCTTTTTACTTGTCCCAGAACTGGAACAAAAGTCCTTCTGCTGTGGATCCTTCACGGTTCCCCTTCTGTGGCTCGGGTCCGTGGGGAGGGCTGCCCCACGCCGCGACAGCCAGACCAAATCTTGCGTATTTGAAATGTTAATTCGGTTAGATTTTCAGTGAAGAGCATAAAGGAGGAGGAGAATGGTGCAGACGCCGATCACAGAGCCGAGGATGAGGGAGTCCCTTCTCTTCCGCAGGTTGATTCGCTGGATGAGATTGTTGATGGTTGGGAAACGATCTTTGAGAGTCAAAAGCTAAGGAAGATCAGCGAGATACTTATACTAACCTGTAACAAGTGCTCTGAGCAATATGCGAGTCTTGATTTCTGAACGAGCTACGGTGTTTTCAGACCAATAACCGATTTCCCAATTTCCTTTCGTGGGTCACACATTTTGCTCCCCAGACACAACCGTCAGTTGTACGGCTTAAAGGATACTGGCCAGGGTGTTGACCCTGCTCTGTATGGATTTCAGCAGGCCCCTTTGGGAGGTCATGTTCTCCTTAGTCGCCATGGCAATGCTACAGAAAAGACAAAGTATAGAAATTACAATGCTGCAAGTGGGTGCTCTCACGAGACACGTAAAGAGTCTTCCACTGCAAATGAGTCATCATGGGGGTGGAAATTCAATTACTGGGGATGTTTCCAGCAGGAAGGGAAACGTGGAGCCATCAGAGGCTCCAAATGACCAAATATACAGCAGAAAACATCTGGTGTGATCCCTTTTGTTCGGGAATGAAGTGGAATGATTTTTATTTTTTTTATTTTTTTTAAAAGGCATGCACCTGAAATATTTTAGGCGGGGGAAAAAAAGGAAATTGGGCCTTGCTAACTTTCAGAGCAGAATAATGCAGCTGGACAGTTGGAAGCAAGGTGTTTAGCTTCTCTGCATCTGCTACAAAACAGTCAATAGATGATACTTGGCACACCTTTGGGCCTTTCACTTCAGTTTGGAGTGGTGGGAAATTGATTTTCACAACCAAGCAGGGAAATCACAGCATGAAAGGCCTGTTTGTTTGTTTTTTTTAGATTGAAATCTCTCCGTAATGACGGCACAGCCTGCTGTGAACGGGAGGTGTGGGCGAGCGGGGGGGTCTGAGGCTGCTGAGGGGACAGTCTGCAGTCTTGGCTTGGGGCTGCTTTTTGGGGATCATGTTCTCCTCCGTCAGGAGGAAACACTTTGCTGACTTCAGCAGCCTCGCCCTCCTTTTGTCTCGGCGTTAACCAGCTCATGAGAATCCGGGCTGGAAGATGAGGGACGCTGTATGTGATCCAGCAACTTGTAACACGTTGAGTGGATCTAAAAGTAGCAGAGTGCTTCAGAGTCTGTAAAACGTACCAAGAAATGCTCTGTCCTCAGACTCAAACAACTGGGCAGAAAACCCTCCCCAGAAAAGACACAGGGATTAAAAAGGGAAATAAGAAAAGTTAAGAAAATATACTGAATATAAGGACTCCTTCTCTGTTGAGTGTTCTCTATTTAATTAAATGTTCGTTTTACTTTTGAGATACGGAAAAGAGTTTCGGATCCATCAAACACATTGCCAAAGGGGGTCATTAATTATTGACTAGATGCTTTTGTTTTCAATATCACTTGATTTGAAAAAGAAGAACCAACATTTCTTATAGTTTTCCATTAAAGAAAGACTGAAATAAAAGTTTACAATCCAGCCTGTTTGATTAGTCCTCCAGCTATTAAATGAGATGACTCTGCGCTCTCCAAAACAACAGAATCTGGAAATGCTCCGTTACATCCCACAGAGTCTCTCCTTTCCTACACTAAAGTGCAAAGGAACGAGAGAACAAAGTCTAATCTGTACATATTTTAACACTCTTCATACTTTGTGTCCTTGATTTCATCAGAGATAAATTGGTGGAAATTTAGCAGATACAAGGGAGTAAAACAAGAAGCAAATGGATAGAATAATTCACAGGATTTTGTGCCATTTTAAGGACTAAATGCTTCAACCAGACAGGTCCCTGGAGAAACTCTGCTTACATGATGAAATAATTAGACAGAAGGGAGGAGGTCAACACTGAGAAACTCCTTCTTCATTTGTGTTGCAAGGAAACGAGACAAGGGAGCAGGGAGTACTGAGAGATGGATGCCACTAATAAATCCATGAGGTGGGAGGGACTTCTTTAGAACCGTGAGTGACGGTTCTCTTCATTTTATGCTTAGAGGATATTGTTGGATGTTCAGCTGGCATGCTTCCAATGCTTTAGTGCATATGAAAAATGTCCCGGCTGACTTATCAGTAACAAAAATGAGCAAATGCATGGACAGGTTTATTAAAGTTGGGGATATTTGGAAAGCAGATGGGGGAGGAAGTCAGCCGTGACTCTTAATGAGGCTTAAGAAGGGAATCTGCAGGGAGAGCAAAAAATTCTGCTCACTAATGGAGGACTGAGGACTGTAAACTCTGCAGATTAAATCTTTAATCAAAGATTTCTTTTTTTAACATAGAACTATGATATTTAAAAAGTACAAAAAAGGGATCAAGATAATCAATGAATGAATATATAACAGTGATCATTGATTTTAGGTAGGTCTTCATTTCCTACCACCCTTAAAAAAGAATTTTTACAACACTAAGGTGACCTTTCCCAGAGCTTTGGGGAAGATCAGGAGGTTCTGATCAAAAGGGGTAAAAGCATCTCAGGGATGTTGCATTTGAAAATAAATTCTAATGAATGCACATGACGGCAAACAGGCTTTACCTTATTGTGTCATCCATGAGACGGTCGGAGCTACAGAGGAGATGGGGAGAGAAAGACACTGGTCAGATATCGATGGCTGTGATGGTAAGTCAAAATGACAAACAGTGTTCACTTAGTCAAAGAACTCACTGACCACAGAGTTCAATAAGAGGCCCCAGGTCATGACCACAAGGTATTTGGTTATGACTTGCCAGGCTGTTACATTAAGTTTCTACTACGAGGCTTAAAAAATTAGGACCACCTCTTGATACAATGTTTTCCATAAAATTATCTTTGACTGTGAAAATAAAACATGCTTGATTAACGGTGGTTAACAAATTGAACATTATCAGCATTCGTGGCACAATTCTTGAACACCCAGAGTAAACAGATGCTACAAATACATCTTAAACGACACACGCGGCAAACAAGAGCCAGATGCTTTCTTCTGTCCTGCAGAGAAGACTGACACACACACACACACACACACACACACACACACACACACACAAACAAACAGAATAGTATCAAACTGTAAAACTAGTTTTCTGCATCAGGTTGGCAAGTGCTGCCAGTGTTAGCTAAGTTTATTTCGAAAGCACTTTTCATGGGTTAGAAGCCACAAAATGCATCACAACACGGCGGTGGGTTGTACAGCGGAACTGATTTAGATAAAGATTCTGAAAACAATCATTCCATCTAAAGAGCAAAACGTCAGGGATTGAATTGCCTTTATCAGACATTTGGCTCCATATCCGAGACCCTGTTAAGCCCTTCTGATTCTGAAAAAAAAAAGACAGAAAGTGAGGGGCGTGTGGGGATTTTAATTCCCGACAGACAAAACTATACCCCAAATCCAACGCTGCCTGGATTTTTTATTTTTGTTGCCCTCCCATTCAAAGGAAATATACACAAAAAAGGCAACTGTTCCCACTTTTTGGGCCTCAAAAATACATGTAAGCTCATGGTTTTCTACTTCAGGACAGCACATATTGTGCTCTGCTCCGATCCAAAGCCTGAGTTAAATTTGGCAGATGCAGCTTTGCTGGAGAAACAGCAATGGCAGAACATGACTGCTTACTCACAATTTAAGAGGGCTAGTATAAATTATCCGATGCTATGCTGATTTATTTGTTTTACAGCCATGAACAAATTTGGGTCTGAGCTCCCAACTGACCATGTCTTCTACAACATAGAAAAAATGACTTGCTTTCAACATTTCATGCGTTTTTGTCTTCTAATGCGATTAAAACATTGGACATCCACTTTTAAACTTACGCCATCAGTTATGATTATTTAAGAGAGTGAAAAACCCAAATTGAACTTTCATGATTAATGCTCTGGCATTGGATCGCAGAACACTATGTGCTAATCCTTAGAACCAGCCCAGTATTAACACAAAAATTATTACCCTTCCTCTGAAAAAGTCCTGTGACTCCTGAAGGGAGTCGAAGATAACAAGATGCATTAGCAAAAAGTAGGAGAACAGTCACAAACCACAGCTTAAAGCTGGTTAAAAATTCAACTGATAATTAGCTAAAGCTTTTTTTTTTACCTTGAAATTAACACGGCTGAAACAAAACAGGAAAAGACAGGGGCCTTCAAAGGCATCGACTGGTAACCTTAGTAACCGACTATTTGGCTCCACTCAGGCCATCAAAGACACATTAGTAACAGATTAAATAGTTTTGATGTCTATAATAAGAACAGTCTGGATGGATCATTGGCCATCTTGCTGCTGGACTGAAGAGAAGCTGTGAGAAAAGCATAAAAACACTTTACTAATATCAGTCGGATATTGGAGCTGCTCTTAATAGTAAAGCAATAAATGGTAAAACAATCACTAAAGTGCTTTAACAGTAAAGTGTGCGAGCAGTGCATCATCACAAACCACTCCGTTTGAGCTTGTCAGTGGATGCTTTTAGCGCATTTAGAAATACATTTCGTCTTTATTCATCATGACTTGCTATGAACAAAACTCTTGATTTAACTGGAACTAAATGCTCTATACACATTTTACACAACTTTGACTACATTAATGATTTTTTGGGTTTGCCGCCTTCCTAAATCAAGACACGAAAGATTTATTTCACACATACTCAAAAAATACGGAGTTAAAAACAAACGAAAAACAAAACAAAAACCCACACATTCAGGTAATTGTGTCTCAGTAAGTCCTTATCAGTGGGGCCGTTAGCATTAGAGCTGCTCCAACATAAACTTTTAATGGACTGGCCCCTCCCTCCCTCCCTCCCTCTAGTTGATTTAGTTTATTCATGAAGACCAACCAGAGTAAGCTGGGGGGAAAAAAAGAAAAATAAATGCTGACAAATGAGAGTTTTAGAAAAGTGGGTGAGGACATATTGCAGAAACAGCAATAACTTAAAAATCTGTCCGTCATGTTGATCGTTTGGTGCTTCCATTTGTACCTTTTAGCAAAAACAAAGTTCAAGAATGGAAGATCACCATTTTTCTAATTCATAAGGTTCACACAGCCATGGCTGAATGCCATTTTCCTCTGAGGTCGTGACAAACAAAAGGAGTGTGCTACAGCTGTACAAAACAACTGAAAAAATCCTACACATGCCCCCTCATGCTTTTGCGTGGGTTACACAGTAAGGCTAATGTTCCATTTCTCTGATTTGGCTGCTTTATTGTATTCCTGTTATAAAACTTCAAATGTTGGGAATTGTATGCCAATCAGAAATATTGAGTGCTTAAAGCCTCCCCCCAAAGGTTCTGAAAATTCTCAAAAGCTTTCCTTCCCCATCAGGGCTGTTTATTGGACTGAAACTTTAGGAAAATTGGTTCCTGTAAAAGTCCCTGCTGTGGGAATGTATTTTATAATGAGACTATACTCAAAGCAGCAACTGCTTGATCGACCACAAGAGAAGTGTCTTTGTTATCGATTGGAAAGACAGAGATTATAAAACTCAATCTACCGAAAAGCCGATGTTTGAACAGACATGTAAATCCACATAGAGGTTGCGAATCTAATGGCAAAAGGCAATGGCTTGTCAATAGGTTGAACTTTAATAAGGCAACCCCATAAAATAATGGGGGAAAAATCTGAAATCAAACTAGAACCATCCAGGTTCATATATTTGTCAGCACATTATTGAAAAGTGTTGCTTTGAACAACTGCTAAACTAATGCGATTAAACTCAATTGTCTATTGTTTTCAACATCATGCTCTACAGTCATCAGGTCAGCAGCACAGCACATTCCACCCCTTTCCTCTTCAGGCGCCCTTAGCCGTTTTATGGCCATAAAAAGGATCAATCAAGCGTAACTCAACCTCCCTCAATCTCCTCTTTCCTCTCCCATCTGCGCCAGTGGCTAGGGAAAACCCTTGAATATGGGCTGTGGTTTAATAAGATAATGTCATTATCAATATCCTGATGACTTCTACTGGATTAACACAGGCAGTCTGTGCTGGAAATGCAGGTGGCTATAACAGCTAAGGAGCATTCTGCACTATAGTTTTGTTGTATTAAAGCAGTAAAAAGGAGTGTCAAAATGACTACTATTGTGAGGTGATCCTCAGACTGGGTTTTGGGGTCAGTTTAAATCTTTTTAAACCCTGAATAGAATGTGCTGTCATAGACATCAAACCCTGAAAGCACAAGCTATTTTGCTATTTGATATCTATTTTAGGTTAGTGTTAAAATTTAATGAAAGCAGCCCAACGAACAACATGTTGAGCTCAAACAACAAAAATAGCAAACCCCAGCAAAGCTTCAAGCATCAGCTTTTGCATTGCAAGCTTTAATTTTACAGCTGAAAGTTATAGTCCATATTGGTCTAGAAATTCAAGTACACTTAATGATAAGCTGTCACTGATGGCATTCTGTCGTTTTAAAGCAAAGAAATCAGCTTCGACCCAAAATATGTTTGACATTATTATCGTAGGGCCCACAGAGATGTCAAAATGCATTCGTGTTTCTCAGAATAACTGAGGCGTTTATCTTTTTAGAACACGTCAGAAATACAAAGCCAAGGGTTGGTTAAAACCAAATGTTTTGTCCAAATAAAATAGATGGGCCCATCACACCAAAGCCATATCAAAAGCTCCCCTTTTGTTTTTGTGCATTTTGTTCGAGTGCCCTGCTGACATTCAATCTCGATTTCCACCCAGGGTGCATATCACACCTCTCTCACACACACGGGTACACACACTCGCAACATGCAGTTGTGACTTTCTTCCAACTCAGCCACTGACAGCAGGAAACAGGTTGGCCTACTGTAGTTTGTGATTGCGTCATAATTCTGGCAGAGGGAAAGGTGATGAACTTACTTTCTCAGATGCTCGTGCTCCTTGAGAAAGAGCTCTGTTCTTCTGTTGTTGACCCCAGAGCCACTCTTGTATGTCCTGAAGAGGCAATGAGAGAAAGTATGATTCATTTTTCAATCATTATCAAATTAATTCAAGTCGTATTTATGTAATGGACAAACAATGAAAACGGTCTAATATCAGTAAATTAAGCTTATTTTCTTTTTCTACATAGAGGGAATAGAAGTCAAAAGATGAGAGTAGATATACTGTTGAAGAAACTAATTAACTGACATCCTCTCCAAACTTTATGGGAGCAACACCCTCAAAGTCAATGAATGTGCCGATTCTGATTCTCTTCGGCCTGATGCGACTCCAGCTATAAACATCCATCAACCGCTGACTACCGTGTACTCTCCTGGGATTTTAGTAATTTAACACAGCCCCACCTTGCTGTTGGATGAAAAAAGGATAAAGAGCACGGGAGGAGGGAGAAATGTGTCCACATTCACACAGAGAACATTAAAGTCCACACCCCACCCAGCTAACAGCCAGTACAGAGATAGTAAATGGGACTCCATCCCAACTGCACCATACAATGAGGTTTTTTTTTTTAAAGAAATCTTTAAAAAAAGATGTATGGGGACACACAGCGCACATCAAACAGCCCAGGCTGGTTATCAGAGCGGCCGAGCTGATGTGCCTCCCGGGCCACAACTGCCTGTACTGACAGCCGGCTCCATCACTCCGGCAAGGCTTTTTAAAAGGGCACTCATGTAAATCACAGGTTAGCTGTCATTTTTGCTGCTGACATTTAGAATCAAGGCAGGTGCAGACGTTGCGTTATGTCTGAGCTTAGCTCTGCTCCTGCTGGTTTTATTATGAATGGCACAGCTGCAGTCGGGAAATGTGTGTGTGTTGGTGTGTGTGTGTGTGTGTGTGTGTGTGTGTGTGTTTGTGTGTGTGTGTGTGTACACAACTGTGAGAAGATGTTTTTTGCTGACAGAGTCTGGAGGCCCACTGCATGTTATTGATAAAGATTTTAACAAAATGGCACGCTGCTCCTTTGGTGTCTGCATAAATGAGATAGTGTGCATTATTTATTCTAAGCAGCATGGATTTCTGGATTTCTGCAGCATAAACAACTCCCATTTTTGGCAGGCCTAATCAATGGCCACGATCTCTGCTGCCCCCTGCCTGACAAACAGATCAAAAGCCTTAGCTGCAGAAAAAAAACTCAATTACTGATCAAAGCCTAATAATTCAGTAAACCATTGACATTCCATTTGCCAAACCCACTTTATCCTTTCATTTATATTGCACAAAGCCGTCATAACCTTGGATCCATATATCCTACAAGTACGCATGTCAAATTGCGAGTCTCTGTTTCTATGAAACGGGGAACAATTATCTTGTTTGACATCACCTTTAAAATCATACAGCACCTTTAGCATATGAAGAAGATATCCTCTTTAATAAAATCTTAAGCCCTCTCCAAGTACTCACCTATGCTTCATCAACAGAAATCAATGAGGGAGCATAAAATTAAATTGCTTTTTAAATGAAAGCCTCTCACGTATAAGAATGGCAGTGATATAAGGTGATGTAAAAAGATGCACCGCAACAGTTCTAGGCATTTCAAAATGTGTCACCTGTTACAGCACATCTAGCTGCTGAAAACCTGATACATTTGCCACTATTAAGTCGTAAGTAAATTTAAGGAATTAAATCATTCCACAGTGAGGTCAGAGAACTTTAGCCATTAAATGGTCAAGAAAAAGCTTCCAATTCAACATTAAGTAACTATTTCTCCATGGAACATTTGTGCCTCTTGGAGGCCACTGCAGACATCTACATCCCTGATAGATGGAGTGGGATCAATAGGAATCCTGCAGTGCTCACGGTAAGCTTACTGCTGCGTCCTGCAGATCGATACACCATTACAAAAAAAAAAAGAAAAACAGCAAGAGTCATGGTCCGGGGGAGCCTCCAACTCATTTCATTACACTCATTCACAACTGAGCCAAGCTGACAAGAGGGCACACTTTCTCAACACAAGGCCAAAGAGGCTATGAATCTTCAAATGCCTCAATGCGCATTTTTCACAAGCATGCCAAGAGGAAGTAGAGACCTAAACATCCCTATAAGGGATTGAGTAAACAAGAACGGAGCTCTCTGGAAAATATTTTTGCAGTCTTTATTCTTCTACACCTGCTTAGATAAAAAATACAAGCGTTGCATCACCAGACAAAACCCGTTTTCCATGTAGCAGCATCAATAGCTAAAGGCAGAGGCAGACGTGACCATTTCTGGACCCGAATTATCATTCAACCCACCACTGATGATTAAATTAATCCCTCACATAAGAAACAATGACATTAGGTGCTATAATGACCGAGTGTGTACTCACTCTATATCTTTCCTGACAGACCCTAAAAGGTCTTCCCTTTCTCGGATGGCCAGAAAGTTGCCCTTCGTTTTGTGGAATTCGTGTGTGTAATCCTGTGTGGAAAGTAAATGAAGCTGAAAGAACAGAAATGTGGAGGGGAAAAAAATACAAACCAACAAAAAGGGAAAGGGAAACATTGTTTTTCTACTTCTAATTTTGTTCATTTTAAAAATTGCATAAAAGGAAAATGCAAAGTTAATACAGAAAAGTAGAGAAAAGTGATTTACAATAAGAATGGTTCAAATATGTGTAAAAAAAGGGCAAACCTGCAGAATGTCTCTGTGTCTCTGGAGGGTGTGCATGAGTGCAGCATTGAGAGAAGATGAGCCTGGGGTATTCGTGTACTCCGCCATCTTATCGTTCACTGCTGTTAGCTGTGCGAAACAAATGGAAGATTAGGGGACAGAAAAACCCAAAGAAACAAAGATAGCGGCAAATATAAGAAACTAAAAAGCCAATAATACTGTCACATTACAGTCGACCAGCCATAATATCAAAAAACACATTTAAGAGACCAACATACATGAACCAATTTATGGTGACTAGCACACAGTGTTAATATTACAATTTAGCCATTGCTTTCCTTTTTTTTCTTGCTTTCCTTACAACAATTACTTAGAATAATATCAACAATAGAAATTATATTCACTCTGAGAAGATTCCCCCCTTGTCTCAATCACTTAGTTTCAGTTTTATTTTTTACCTCACATGAACAAAACATTTGTAGAAAAAGTTATCTTTGCAGCTAACTCATTCTTCAATACTATAAATACACCGCTTTAATAGTTCTCTCGGCCACCAAATGAGCTGAATTTACACACTTTGGCCAACAACTGTTCAATTTCCACAGACATGGTGTCAAACATCCTGTCTTGGGTGGAGTTGTTTAGTAGTGGGGTGGTGTCCGACCTTAGGTAGGAAAAAAAGGAGGGGAAAATTATTACCAAGTCATCTTACTGAGGAGTCACTTCTACAGTAAAATATGGGACAATGAGATCAAAAGTTTAATTGTGATGTTAAAGGATTGCTAGTAGACTAACATTTCCTTTATGTATTCAAACAGTGTAAATAAAACACAGAGATAAGGTTAGAAGTTACTCTAGGATAACCTTAACTTAATATTGCTCATTTTAGCCATTTAATTCAAAACAAGATCCGCTCAACTGCCCTCGGTAAAACATTTAGTGCTTCTCACTCACACTCAAAGGTTCAATCTTTTAATACATTAATTTAAAGCGGAAACTTGTTGTATGGAGTTGTGAAAAGCTTGCAATATGAATTTTATTACATATGGCTGCAGTAAACCTTAAAGTTTTATGAGGGCAGCATACAGTAAAGTAAGTAAGAGTTTGTGCACTAACATTTCAACTAAAAGGGAGTATCACAGTTACTATAAAAAGGAAAAACATTCAACGTGTCAAGGAATAATTTTCGGATATTGAAAATTGTATTCCTTCATGTAAGGAAATATCACAGTCATTCCCTCTTCCAACAAACAGCTAAAGATTCCTGCAATCAAGCATTAAGCAAAATATTAATATGAATCCTGTTGCCTTCAGTTTCTAGTAGTTGAAGGAAAAGCTTTACAATAAATTAAAGAAACCGGTTATAATAATGTTTCACAACAGCACCCCAGACAGAGTGGCTTAAAAAACTAAGTTTACTCTCTGTTTAGGCTACAACTGCTTTCCAAAATCTCTATTTAAATTGTCTTCTATGCTTAGAAAAGCATTACATTACAAATGAAAGGATTTTAACTTACGACTCTCCTCGCCGTCCATCCCTGGAACTGCTGTAGGTGGTGCACAACTTACTGAAGGAGACCAGTTTCAGGTCAAGTTCATTCTCCAACTGTCTGGCCTGCTTTCGCAGATCTGTGACACAATCACAACTGTTTATTTCCCAGATCAGAGAATACACAGACTTTATACAGGAAACACAGCCGAACTGACGTGTTTAATGTGAATATTCTAATAGAGATCCTTTTAGGGGAATAAAAAGCTTTCCCTAATTAGTCAATTCTCTTTACCATATTTCTTTTTGCACGCACGTTAACAAATGACTGAATAACTGCTTTTCTAGGCTGGTGAACAGTGTGAACACCTCCTACACAGATGGCAAACCAGCTAATTGTTTGCTTAACTCACCAAAAGTGTCCAACAAGGGGCCAACTTGACTCAAGATTGAGATTATAGTAGTAATTGAATGTAGAAACACGTGAGCGCAATGACATTTAAACCACACAAAAAGGGAAAACTCGATGTGCCAAGTTGCAGAGCCGCTTCAAGTAACGACGCAGATTGTACAGCTTCAGGAGTGACATTAACTTCAGTTACATGGCGACAGGCTAGCTAGCTTGTTATGGGCTAATTAGTTGTTGTAAAGGGACGGGGTTTACATTGTGAATGTATGGTCCAACCCTGCAGTGACACCCCAGAGATTATAACACGGTACTCAATGCGACTACAGTACCGTTAAATGTAAAGTGAACAGAGATGTTGGCTCCTTACCTTCCCAGTAGTTGCTGCTTCCTATTCCTGCCATTTTTGTTGTTCTGCGACGTCACCAACTTTCAGCCTGGGTCACGTGTTAAGGAAGTGGCTGATTTTTAGCCCTCAGTTATGACTGGCAGGCATGACACTAACTCTGGCACCACGGCTGCTTGCAGGCCAGAATGTAATCAGTTTAAAATGAAAACAAAACTACAAAAACTGTTTTGATTCAGACTGAAAACATATTGGACAGCAATATATTTCAATGCTTTTGTATTCATAAGTTTTAAGCATGATTATCTACAAATAATCTATGCAAATAAAGTTCAAATCTTAAGGGCAGTGCTTTTGTGTTTACTCTTCAAGTGACAATGTGCTAATTTCCTGAAGATATCTCTTGCTGTGTTGAACTAACTGTTCTCTCACAGTATTTTTTAACATTCAAGATCAAAATGTGTTTTTTTTTTTTTTTGTGATGTTTAAATCCACCCATGTCAGAACATGTTCCATTCTTCTCAAGAATAAACAATGACACACTGTCCCAGCGCCTCAAGTTACAAACAATGTCTAGAGGAACAGATTTCCAGATAATAACGTTGCATCATGTGCTTGGAATGGAGAGCATATCTTGTTTGTGGAGCTTACATTAACCGTTGCAGTGTATCAGAATGAGAGTAAAACATGATGAAAATAAACATTCACAGGAATTCCCCCCTTTATGTTATTAATAATGACATTTTTAGAATTACACTGACAGAAATACAGCTATTCACCATCCATCCATCCATTATCAATACCGCTTATTCCTTCATTGGGTCGCGGGGGGAACTGGAGCCTATCCCAGTGGTCAATGGGCGAGAGGCAGGGTACACCCTGGACAGTCCGCCAATCCATCGCAGGGCCACACACAAGACATACAAGGACAAACAACCACTCACACTCACATTCACTCCTAAGGGCAATTTCCCCAATCTCCAATCAGCCTAACATGCAGGTTTTTGGACTGTGGGAGGAAGCCGGAGAACCCGGAGAGAACCCACGCAGACACAGGGAGAACATGCAAACTCCACCCAGAAAGGTCCTGGTTCCCCCGGGATTCGAACCCAGAACCCTCTTGCTGGGAGGCGACAGTGCTAACCACCACACCACCGTGCCGCCCTCAGCTATTCACCAATTCAACAAAAAATAGCTGAATGTTCTGTAATTTTAATCCAGGGTTATGCTGACAATTTGCAGCTGTGCTTTAGGAACACCATCAGAAGAACCATGAAGAATGCAACACAAAGGGAAATATGCTGTGACACGTTTTATTTCCTTGTTTTGCATGTTAGCATGTCAGGATCACAAAGATTCTTTTGAAATGCCCTGATGTAATCATACGGTAAACATGAGGTGCACTCCAAACTCCATTTACAATTGGCAAACAATATTTACAGCTGATTCCAGTTCATGTAAAATCCTCACACCAGCATAGTGACACACACTCAACTTTCAATAGTTCACACACACACACACACTCACACACACACACACACAGACTTCATAGACATAGTATAAGAAAAATAATTTACAAAAATCTGTCTCCCTACACAGATGTCAGGACTGGAAATCAGGCCAAACTAATCAGAGTGAGTGTGTATTGCTTAGAAACCATGCAGCAAACACACATTTAAAGAAGTGATAGTTCTGTGATTTGAAAACTTTCATTTCTTTTTCAGGAGCATCTTTCCAAGGATTATGTTTGTAGGAAAAGTTCATTCATTAATCTGTCTTTTGGTTTCTCCTTTAAGATGCTTGTGATGAAACCCCTAAGTTTGATAACTAACAAAAAAAAAAATAGCTTCCCATCATCACAAGGCTTTCTAAATGAGAGGTCCTCACACTCACCCAAGGGAGTTTTTTTTCTGATTCTTTTTTTTTTTTAAGTTGGAAGGGAAGCTCTGACATTCATTAATGGACAACCATATCATTTTTTTGACAAGGAGATTTTCAGCAGAAAACCAAACTTATACTCTTTAGGTTGCCAGCTTTCAGATATGCAATTAAAACAGGGCACAAACTGAACATGACAGGAAATTCAGCAGAAATTTTCCACGTAAAAATCATTCTGAAACAATACTTAAACAAATAAGGAAACAGAAATACATTCGTATAATAACATTTGAAAGTTCTTCATTCTGGGGGTGCTCCTTACTTTCCAGTAATGTCTTGACATCTGAACACTCAATTAACTTGGCAGGGTTTTATCCAAACCTGGCAACAGGTTCTCCCTGATGCTTTTTTTAAGCTTGCACTACGATTTACACACCGACACTGATTTGCTGTAAAAATACAAAGCCGTTGAAACCAGGTCAGCAAGCTTAAAGTTATCTGTGCAGTAACAGTGCAACGCTCGGATTCAGCAGGCCTTTCATAATTTCTCTCTTTTTGTGCCCCCTGAGTAAAAGATGGATCAAATTCAATCACAGATTCGGTGTCAACCATTTGAAAGCGCTCTGTGTCCTGCGTTCTGCGTCCAGAATTGATAGAAAGGCACAGTGCTGGGTTAAATCTCCCAAAGGCTCTGACTTATCACTGAAGCTATGCTACTCTATACAAAGGAAAACAAATCAGCTTTAACATCATAGATCAAGGCAATGTGGGAATAAATCCAGGGGGCTGCCAGATACCAGGGGAATTCTATGGAAGATAAAGCACTTACAAAAAAAAATCCCACTTATGCTAAAAAGTATTCATTTGGACTGATGGCTTTTTACCTAAGCCAGGCAGGAAAGGTGGTGGGTTAGAATATTAAAAATATTCTTGAATGGCTCGGAAACAAACAAAGGGTGAATGAGGGCAGAAGTTGACTAAACCTGTTCACTTGCCTGCCGTTTATCATTCTCTTCCCTCTCTGACAAGTCAAATACAGCCGCAGCCGAACAAATGAGCACAAACCCCTCATGCTAAACAGCAGAAAGATTTGTTCGTTTAGTAACTTGAACTTGATGATATGATGATATAGCGTAAAGTGTCTTCCCCGCTCAGCTGCTCGTTCCAATTAATGCTGTTCCTTGTTGGTCAGAGCTCTGACTCTGAGGGGGGGAAGGGTCAAAAATAAAATACTGAGCCAACAGTGGCGCAAAATTCCTCAGATTTTGTTGGCATACAGTGTCTCCTCGTCGCTTTCACTCTCGTCCTGAAACTCGTGGGCGAGCAGGGACTTTTTGGAGCCCATGGAAGTGAGCCGGATCTCATCATCGTAATCATCGCGGTGCTGCCGCAAGCGGTGGAAGCCGTCTTTCTGCCGGTTGGACTTGGCTGCACACACGCACCAGATGATGCACGCCGTCACCACCAGTGCCGTCATGGAGGCCGCTGTCAAGTGTCAGAGAAAGACATACCTGAGCATGTTTGATTTTACACATGTTTACATTTCTTAAAACTGAAGATACATTACAATAAAAATTATGCACGTAATAATCCTTTGTTTTGAGAACATAATTTATCATGAGAAAGATATCCTCAGAGGTCAAAAGAAGAAAAGCATGTCTGCAGTCAACACGGCCCACATATGTTCTGGTTACAGACAGATTTACCTGCAGTGGCCACAACAAACTCTCGGGGCAACCCAAAGATGGTGTTGTCCATGTCAAACTCAAAGTCGACGGACCCAGCAGCTTCATAAGATGACACTGTAAACTGGAAGACAGCAATAAATAAATAAATTACTTTGTCAGCAAATGAGAGAAAATAAAGGAAAAATTTAGACTCATATAGTGAAATTCAATCTACCAAACCGCACATTTTCAGTTTTTTTTTTATACTGAAAGCTGTGTTCAATATGCTTCTAGAACATTTTGAATAGGGCAGCAGTATGTTTCCTGTAAAATAATTCAAATATGCTAAGGTGCTTTTCAAGAGGACATGGCAAGCACATCTAATCTGGCCTTGGTTTTGTTTTATTTTTTTCTCCAAATGAGTTCAAACACACTCCTGCCTTTTAAAGCAGCACTGATGAGTGAGGCTGCCCACCATCTAATTGACAGGCCTCATTTGCAGGTGTGACTGCTTGGTATAATCTACAACAGGCCTGTCCTCTGAATGTCTAAAATAGTGCTGGTTCATGAAAATCCCATTATTCAGCTAAGAAGTAGATCAAAAGAATCTGAGGATTCTTGAGAGTTTGAGGTTGAGATATAGGAATTTAAACCACATGGTTTCCTAACTGACTTAGTAAATTGCTCTGGGCATAAACTAAAAGACTTGTTGACAAATAGTAAGTGTTACTCTGGAATTATTCTCTTTTCCCAAGATAAAATGGTTTTTATTTTGTTTCCTGACGGCAAGAACCTGCAAAGGCTTTAGAAATTTCTCAACCTAATGTCCCTTTTATTTCCAGACATATGAGATGCGTCCATATGACTTAAGGCAGAGCATTAGATGTCCCAAAAAGTATGGAGAGACGATTAAGGAAAGGAAATACATGCTGGCTCCGACTCATGATTCGGAGGTGTGGTGTGAGCAGAGAAAAGGAGACCCTCAAAAACCCCTGGATAACAGGTACATAAGGAATGCGGCTGTTCTTCCGGATCTCTCTGATCTGCCACAAAGCACAGAAGTCGTGAGGAACAAGAGGGGGACCAAAGAAAGGACTTCAAGCGACGATCTGATGATCCATGGCTTCACAGTGCCAGACTACCAGCAGGCGTACCATTCAGTGGTGGATCCCCTCCTCTTTAGACCTTCTGGGAAACTCATACCTTACAGTTTTGAGCTGGGGTTTACCATCAAGGAACATCTGTTCAAAGAGTTGGCCTACCCCACCCTTCAGATTACAGAGCTTCCTAATGGAAAGGTGGAGGTGACTGAAAGATTTTGCGTGCTGCGTCCTACACCTCACATTGAGGTAGACTGTAAAGGGGAACCATGGTGATGTTCTTTCAAAGACTTTCTATCACGTAACTGTGCCTTATTTGTTATTTGTTAGCTCATGTTTCCCCTGTGGTTGAATCTAGTAAACATATCTTTACTTTGTGATGAGAAAATGTAAAAGATTAAATATTTCAAGCCATGGAATGAAGTTTATCTTCCAAACAGCTGGATAAGAACTATGAAACCAAGTTTCCAGAATGTTTTTGTTTTTTTCTGCTTTTCAATACATTAGAAAAACATTTAGGAGCACAAGTAATATCTAAAATTTCTAACACAGCTTACATTTCTATAAAAATGGTTCTTAAAAAGCCTTTTTTCCTTATTCATAGCAAACATGTGGCCTCATTTCCAAACATGCTGAGAGAGGGAAGTGAGGGATTTTTCCATTTCTTTTCCGTCCTTATTACTTCTAATTTTATGTGTACGGGAGGGATTTAATGTCTGTCAACAGGTATACATTTTGTGGAAGAAGCAGAAATGTTCATTTTGTGTTTGGGCAAACAGAGCTTGAACAGGAAAGGCAGCTCATTGTAAAGTTTGGGGAAATCACCCAACACCAAGAGGCCTAAAAGACGCTTTGAAATACTAGTGCAAGTTAATATAATGCATGGTATGTAAACAGCTGTACCTTCAGGCGTTGCTGTTCTTGGTAGCCATCAGCAAAGGCCTCAATATTGTATTTCCCAGGTGCAAGAAGAGCGTGGTAGTAGCCACCTTCTGAAGTAAAGACTTTGACTCTTTTGTTCAGGACAATTTTTGCGCCAACAATGGGTTTCCCATTTTTGTCCCTCACTACTCCTCGCACCCCCTTATGCACCTGAAACAAAGAGAAAGAGAGAAAAAAAAGTTTAAGAGGTAGATAAAGTCCAGTCGGTGGGGAAATGATCCTCCACTCAACTAAGTGATTAAAGATAAAAACGTATGTCTCTTACTGACGTGTATATCACAATCTTCATCTGTTTGTGGCAATGCTAAACCTGTTGTTGTTATACTGATTAAATCTTACATCATACCTCTACTAGCATGCTGAGGAGAGCTTTCTTGTTCTCAGCCCAGAGAGTGGACAGCTGCTGAACACGGGGGAACAGACAGCAGCCGGTGTACACTGTGATTTCTGGGCAGTGGCCAAAGTCCATACTGAAGTCCTGGACAGTGTGTAGACATGAAAGGTCAAATTGGACAATACTGCAAAAACACATGTTCTGACTTTGCTCATTATATTGAATATATATTTTATTTTTTTTCTCTCTCTTTTTTTTTTTAAAGTATCATGCCCCTTGAAAGCACACATTTGAGGTAAGTGTGGAAAGAATGACAGACTTACCTTCATGCTTCCCATGTGACTTTGCTTCTCTGCTGCCCTCATGTATCCACCTGGGACGTTGCTGACTGATATGAGAAAAATGAATGAATGACCCTGATTCTCCTTATTGCTGATTATTTGAGACAGACGTGACAAGAATTTACAGAACTTGAATATCTTACTTTGCCCATTATTGGAACATCCCGTGTCATCCAGGTGCATCTTGGGATGGTTGTTGGCATACACACTTGCCAAATATTTCAAAGTCTCCTCATTTTCAACTGAAATTTTTTAAATAATGGTTGTAAAACATAAATTACGAAATACAAGTTTCAGATAAAAGCTGTGCTGGGGGTTTTACCTGGCTGGACAGGTTTGTCATAAGGGTAGGTCACTACAAGCGAGCCTCCGTCCATGGCCACAGACAGACTGAACCCTTTGTTTAGAATAAAGTCCATCATGGCTCTTGTCTCAGGTTGAGGCTCCATCACACGTTGTGATGCGTTGCCTGTTGAAAAAGGAAAAGACTATTATTCTTTGACAATAATAGTCAGGGAAAAGGAAAAAAACTAAATCAAACATAAATTAGTTCATGTTTAGTGTAGCACACACAAGTAAGTTCAACTGACCGAAGAAGTCTTTGTCCAGATCCTTGCCATTGGCGTTGTTCAGGCCCCGGTCGGAGGTGCAATTATCCTCCGCAGCCTGTTCTCGTCCATCAGGGTTGACAGAGGGCACAATGAAAATCCGGGTCTCGTTGATCAGCTGAAAAAGAGAAAGGAAAGAAGAGGGAATAGTCCAAACATGAATGACATGAGAAGCACAGCAAAACTTTGTAAGACATTGTAAGGTGTGTAAGAGAGATCTGGTGGCTGACCGGTGAGGACCTCTCACAGTTTTCTACATGTCCTGAAAAAAAGATTAAGCTCCAGAAAGCTCAAAAGAGTTGCTCAACTACTGTTTGGGATGGCAGCCCTGGATTATACAAGGAAGCCTGAGCCTCACCTTGGTGATTGCAGGGTTTTTGCCATAGCTGATGCACAGGAAGGCAGCAAACTCCAGCAGCAGCTCTGTACCCACTGGGGCATTGCCATGGATCCCTGCTACGAACCGGATCTTTGGCTCATGCGGTTCAGCTTCTGCTGGTTTGTTGGAAATTTCCAGAGCCCAAATGGTTCGGAACTCCACGCTCTGGCCCAAACTGAACACAAAAGAAAATAAACCAGAATACGGGTCAGAGCAACAATAATATTTGAACACAAAGCAGCTTAAAAAAAAAGTAGTGAAGAATTAGAAAATCTCTAAAACATTAGCAAACGTTAGCTGAAACCACCTTCATGTTATGCAGATATGATGTCAAAGCAATACTACATTAGATACTAAATCCATTTCTGATAGATTTTACTTACCTATGCAAAAATGTAATGTTGGGAAAGTTGAGCGTGAGGCCTCTCAAGAAACCTGACATCTCTTTAGGCAGTCGGTATCGAAAGCTGTTGTCAGTGGCTGTGCTCCTGACCAGTTGTTCCAAACCCTGACCTAGAGACAGCTCCTGGATCAAACTCTTGAGCTCCTTCTCCGATGGGTGGGGTTTATTAGACTTTAAAGGAGTCAGCCTGAAGTCCACTACCTCCGCTTGATCTTTTGAGACTGTAGCGTAGATTGTCACTGGCCTATAACTATGAACACAAAAGCTGCGATGAACTGATGTTCTGACGATGGAAAATACTGGCAGGTAAGAACATACAGAGCTTTATGTCATATGTTTATCCTTCTGAAAAACAAACATTACCCATGGGCGTAGGCAGTGATAGAGTAAGTCCCAGGGATCAGCAGTCTCCAGTAGTCTCCAGTATGAGCTGTAGTGACATTGTGGTCTATGCCCTCCACAGTAATAGTGGCATTAGGAATTCCGGTACCATCCTCAATGTCAGATACTGTCCCCTTTACTCCACTGTGAACCTAAAGGGACACAAAATAATTAGCCAAAAAAATTAGAATCGATTGAAAAGGAAGAAAGAAAAGTTGTAAAATATCTACGTATAAGGGTTCTCTACCTGGTGTATAAACTGAAGCAAGGCTCGTCGGTTCTGTTCCCAGTATTTTGGCAGCTCCTCGGCCGGGGGGTACTTGACACAGCCCTGCTCAATGGTCACCTCAAAGCAGTTGGTGTTGATGTAATTCCAGTCTTGCATGCCACCTGGAAAAAAACATTGTATTTTATCTCCAATTTTAAAGCTTTACTATAGTACTTTTAATAAAGCCGATGTATGTTCAAACTTTATCAATTTAGTAAAATGTGAGGCCCACGCAGAAATGTTTTCTTGTTTATTATTTAACCAAGGGTTAAACATTCAGACATACCGGGAACAGTATACCACTGGGCACCATTAGTGATGCCATCCTTAAAATACTCCTCAGGGTACAGGTCTTCACAGGGATGTCCTTTATGCATCAGAGGATTCTCCTGCACAGAGAGCATAACAACAGGTTCTATTGTAGCCAAAAGAGGTGTAAAACACGGTTTCTCCAGAGGTTTGATAACAGCAACAGTGTCACGTTACCTGGGAGTAAGCCTTTGACACCTGCTTAAAGACTTCATCATCAGGTGACTTGCTGTAGTGAATCAATCCCTCTTTGTCGTTATCAAAAGGGTAGTTTACAACCAAGGAACCTGAATTTAACAAAAGAAAATAAACCTCTTAACACGTACTAAAATCAGTTGTTTTTAGCATAAAACAGCTCATCATAAATATGTTTTACTCAAAGAAGGCTGTGACCATTACAGGCTTGCGTCTCTGAGCTAAAATGTGACAGTACCTCCATGGAGGTTGGCTGACAAAACGAAAGGGATGCTCTTCAGCCAGCTCATCACAGCAACGGTTTCTGGCTGTGTGGGATCGGTTGTGGGGATAAACTGGTCTGGAAAGTTGCGGTTCAGATCAAAATTCCTGCTGTTGTTCCGTCCTTTGTAGCCCTTCACGTCACCTACGAGGAAGCAAACTCAAGTAATGTATGTATCTGTTACCACAGCACCTTCCTGTCTGAAGAAGTAAACAGCCTCAGGTCCAACCCCTCAGGGCCACTATGCTTCGCCAGAGCATGAATATTGCCTGAACATTTTTATGTGAACCAAATCTCAAGAAAAAAAAAACAGGCCAAGCTGCGAGAAAACCACACAAGTCACAGCATGACTCAATGATTAGAGGAGAATAAAGTTCATGTTATGGGCTGGCCACGTCAAATTCATAACAATAATCCAACATAAATGCTGTAAAAACATCTGAAGCAAATAGCTTGTGGGAGGAAACTTCCTAAAAAAGAGCTGAATCTGTTCTGCATGAATGACTGCCATCACATTTCAATTCAGAAATATTCAGCTGCAGTTCCTACAGAAATATGAGGGCTCACCAAGGTTATAGTTTTTTCCTCTGAGTTCATTATCCTGTCATCTTTAGGACATTACGTTTCTATAAATCACTTGTGACTTAGGATATTATGTCACATACATATGTAGAAATACGAGTAATTTATACATGTAATGTTCAATATTTTATACCACCCTCTTCTGAATGCTTTCAGGTCAGTTTTAAGTTCTCTTTCACTTAGAAATGCTGTATATTTGATAGCAGCAACACAGACTCACAGAAAAGATCTAATCATTGTTCTAGACCTGCAGTGTTAAAGTTTTGCTTCTGTATCCCAATGCTAGTCACCTAACACCTGCTTGGCCTGTGAATTAAAACCACCTTTAATGTTACACGTGACATGTGACATGTAACATCCAATCGCTCACCTTCAATGGCTATCTCGTAGCCATCAGGATTCATAGAGGGCATGATGTGAATGCGGGTGTTGTTGAGCAGCTGAGTGACCTCCGGATCAGTGCCATAGTTACGGCACAGATATTCAATGAGGTTGAGCGATAGCTCTCGGCCCACCACCTCATTGCCGTGCATGTTTGCCACATACTTAAACTCCGGCTCACCTGGCAGACAGAAGGAGGCAGAATTCAAACGTGCACTGAAAAACACAGTGTTGAGTACATGTTTAAAACAAAAAAGTAAATCCTGTGAGAAATTGCCAGCAGAGACATACCGTGCTCATGAACTTGTGGGTTATCTGAGAGGACCATGACATAGAGCTCCCGCTGCTCCACAGAGTGACCGATGGAGTACAGGTGGGCGATGGAGGGGAACTCGCTGCTGTACTTGCGTAAGAACAACTCCATGTCAGCGTAGCTGTGGTGGCGAAACTCCTGCGGCTGGAGGGGCTCGTGCACAGGTTTCTGGTTTCCTCCAGCGAGATCGCCCGGGACCCGGGTGGAGGTGGAGGTGGAGGAAACGGTGGCGGAGAAGTTTGGCTCGTTGGTGGACGGCACTGAGGTTGCGGTCACAGAAACACTGCCTGTCCCCTCACTGACCACTGGAGCCAGGGTGAAGTTTAGCTCTGTGGCTTTGCCTTCAGTGACCCTAACACTGTTGATCATTGGGGAGTACCTGCACACAGAAACGCCGACATGCTAAAGGAATCCCACAGCTGCCGTGTCTGACACAACAGCTTCAGTTTCCTTCTAAACTTTACAAGGAAGTTTAATTCTGAATATATGACACCTATTTGTCTTCGCTTCTAAACAAGGTTGCTCTGTAACACAAGGAGGGAGTCAGTAATGTTATACATTTCCTTGGACCAACTTTAATCTATAAAGAGTTTACGCTTTTTTTCATTTCACAGTTTGGAGGAACAAAGCAATCATTCATCAGCCGTCTGAAAACTATTCGAATAAAAAAAACTGCAAAGAACAGTCCCTGCAATGCAATCAATGTGATTGATGATGATCCCTTGGAGTTGTCCTAAAATGGCTAACTTATTTTTTGCTAAACGGGCCTGAGAGAGGGCAGTTGATCAGCATGGCTCACCCTGGAGCCACAGCTGTGATACTGTAGTTTCCTGGGAGCAGGATGCGGTAGTAGTCCCCGTGTTTTGCTGTCGTCAGGTTGTGGTGAATGCCTGCTATCATGATGCTGACATTGGCGAGGGGGGCTCCACTGACTGCATCGTTCACAAACCCCCAAACACCTATGTGCACCTGGAGAACAGGGAGATGTGTTTCACACCAATGGTTCTAACTCAGAGAGACAGAACTTTCACCAAAAGGTCGCAATGGCTTTGCTGCGGTGAAATCTTTATTCAATGTGGATTATATCTTAAATGATGTGAGTTGTACCTTTTCCATGTAGGCTAGAAGGGATTCCCTGTTCAGATTCCATTCCTCAAGGAGCTTGTCAGCAGAAGGATACTTGCAGCAGCTCAGCTCCATGGTGATTTCCAGACAGTTTCCACTGAGGTAGTTGTAGTCCTGCATTCCTCCTGATTAACAAGTTCATAACATAAATAAAAGGCATATTAAGATACGGCTTAGCTTGTCCGATTTTTCCCTCAAGGATGTTCTCATATGAAGGCATGAGATTAGTCTAAATCAAGGGATTAATAAGATGTTATTTAAAATGACCCGACTGACTTCAGGCTTGTTCGTTAGCAAGGACTGAGTCAGTGCCAGGAAAGGCCTGAGGCTGTCTTTGTCCTTTTTCCTCTTAAAAAGACTATTTGCTGTGGCAGAAAGCCATGACATCTGCGGTTTGCCAGCCACCGAGCTCCCTGTTAAAGCAAACACAAGCACACACACTGGAGAGCAGCCTGCTGATCGGGTCATCCCTATGGGACAACACGGTGGAGTCAGAGGCCCCCGGCCTGGAGGGTTGCCATGGCTGCATGCTGAGTGGCCACAGGGACCAAAAGAAACAGCTACTCTTTGTCACTTTTACAGCAGTCAGTGTAAAAGTGCTCAGACAGTAAACACTGACAAATAACTCCTGCAAAGTGACCAACCTCTTACGCCAGTCTCAGTATGGGGAAACCAAAGCACAAGAAAAGATCTACATGAACAAACTTCAGCTTTTCTTGAGAAAATGCCACATCTACTCTAACTAATAGTGACTAGACTTTACTTCTACCACAATTTCCCCTCAAAAGCCTTTACTTGATGTGGTCATTCTTCCTGTTCCAGTATAAGTTCCCCTATTGTTGTCAATTTTTGCTATGGTTGTCAAAATTCTTAGCGTTTTGTGAAAAAATACTTTATATTCAGAATTACATGTTGACTCAAGAGGCATATCTTCATTTAGACTAATTAATAATGCATTTCCTCCTTCATGAGACAATGGACTTCTCTTCGTTCATCATAAAAAGCCAAACTTAAGATACCAACTGTCATATACGCAGCTGCAGTAAGCTAGCTGATGTGAAGACAGAGGATCTCTTCAGACAAGTGGGTGTTTTTCATGACAATGGCATTATTTTAATGCTTTAAGGCAGCATTCCACAAATGTCCTGTGGAAACGTTTTGGGTTCATATTCAACAGGAGAATAACATCAGTTAAAAACAAGAAAATATGTTTCATTAACAAAGAACTAAACTTTTGTACAGTTATATAACAAAGAGGCAAGGAGTCCGTTTTAACTGTTGTTTTTGTGTGGACGTAGTCACACTGTTATATCATTATATCAACATTACAACCATCGATAAAAAGCAGTAAAACAACTTTATTCTTTATCAGTGCTAAAATGAACTCGTGCAGACCTGGAAGACACTGTTGAAACGGCGAGCCGTCAGCCAAACAGTAGCTCTACTTTCAGTCACGACTCATCTGATATAAGGCTGATAAACATCCAGCAGACACGTGTACAATGCGCTCCAGCCCCAAACTTAAATATCCTGTTTATGCACCACACTCAGTGACGCACCCTGAGCTTAGCAGGAAACAACTGGCAAGACAATGGAGCCAAAGTCAGTAACTGTACTTCTAACACGCAGAGAGGCTTATCATGTGAAATGATTTCAAGTGTTGGGTTGAATCAACCATAACTAATTGTTCAGTCAAACACAGAGCAAGATAAAACTATTCAAAGCTGCCTTTTCCTTAAAACATGTAAATCATAGCTGTAGTTATCAGCACTCCGGTTATTACCGTGCTGTAGAACAGTATTTTAATTTACATTTCCATTACAATAATCCACGCAAAGTGCTTTCCACAAGTTTAAACCTTTTTTACTTTTTTTCGAAAGGGAAGAAAAGCCTTTACAACTCCTCGTGAATGATTTTACGCTTCCAATAACAGAAGACGTTGTGTCATGATGCACGCAACCATAGAAATAAGGAGCTGTCCAAGATTTTTTTTTAAATTATGGGTAAAGAAAACGTGCTGCGCTGCATCATTATTACAAATAGTATAGTAATGTATATAAAATAGTCAGCTTTTTATATGTTTCTAATACTATTTCTTTTTATAAAAAGAACAGTTAACTAATTAAAAAGCTTATGATCTTGCACAGACTGTGTTCCAAAGGTTGTTGTAATCATTCACAGTTCAGTTACTATTATTATTATTAATAGGTAAGACAATAATGTGAGTGACGTGTATAATTCCTGAGAATCTCAAGGTGACCTGGAACCATCTGAAGGAAACATGACCACTGCAAATGATCAGAAAAATCTGGATGGGGCTGGTGGTAAATTCGTCTGCTCCATGCTTGTTCCAGCACACGGGTGTGAATTTAAGAATGAGAACAAGAGACGTGCTGGGTCACCGAATGACTCACTGTCTCCACCTGAAAATAAACCATCTTCAGCCATAATTCCCACTATAACCTGAAGCCAACGCATTTTTTTCACAGAAGAGGCTGACAGTATTTAGATCAAGTTTCTGCCCACTGGCCAGAGAAGTAACCCAAGCTGTATTTAGTTAACAGATAAAGAGAAAACAGACACAGCCAAATATTCAGACTGTGGGTTTCAGAATACCTACAGCTGTCATACTTTCGGTAATTACAGGTTTTGGTGGACAGACGGGCTGCGTGGTAAGCGGCTGAAGAGCTTACAGTTTTTAGCTTTTTCATAAAAAGATACATCTGAAGGAGGTTTGAGGCCCCGCATATTACCAATGTTCAGTGAGATCTCTCAGGATTCGTACCAGCGAAAAGCCTTCTTGTGACATCATCTTGAGCCAACTGTAAAAGACTCTGAAAATGTACCACTAACAGGCCAGAGCACACGCACACCGTCACAATCCCCCGTGAGCTGCAGACGATTCAGTGCGGGCAACAATGAGCGGCATTCTTAGTGTTCAGATGTGGAGATAGGGAAGGAACACTTGTTGGCCTATCTGACCAAACAGCTTTAATCACGGGGTGTTGACAGTAAGTTTAGAAGTCATAACTGAAAAGACACGTCTGGGGAAAAAAAAGCTGTTATCAAAAAGAAAACTAACACCCCACTTTGATCTGAACGCTGAAAAGGTTGTGATCCTCCACTGAATGGTGGGGTCACTGTTTTTAAAGGTTTTAAATACATGATCTGTGCTCAAAGCATTTATTTTCAATCCTCAACAAATTTACTCAGCCCTAAGAAGAGAGCCTGGGTTGCCTCACCTGGAACATCGTACCACTCAGCGCCGTTGGTGATGCCGTCCAGGAAACGTTCGTCCGGGGTGTCTGGACAGTTGGGCTCGCCGGTCTTCATCACAGGGTGATTCTGGGAGTAGGTGAGGGCCAAGAAGCGGAACAGCTTGTCATCCTCCGACTGGCTGTAGACGCCTTTACTCTTGTGGGTTGCCGAGTCGTCGAACGGATAACTGGCCACCACGGTGCCTCCGTGCAGGTTCCCCGACAGCACAAATCTGGAGAAACGGGGATGTTTTGCCCACCGCAGCATTAAATGAGCAAGACGAAAAAACTGGTCGGATAATTAATAGCACTTTAACTTTATCTGCATAATCTAATGGCTCAAACTAAAAGCAAACAAAAAATTACTTTACGACCAGTTGAAGAACAAATACAGTGTGTTAGCATTTCCATGAAGCTGTCCTGAGGCAAATTTTCAGTTTGACCATAAAATAGCGACAAGGAACGCAACAAATATGGGAAAATACTCAAAATAGCATTAAAAATGAGAAAAGTTGGACAGTTTGCCAATTGAAAGTAAAAGTGAGTAAAGCCAATGGAGACAGGCACTACCAAAGTTTAAGTCAAATGAAACCCATAGAGAAATCAGATAATTTACAAATAAATACAGGTTTGTAGCTAAAACCTTTCACAAAGTTGCAAGTTGTTAAAACTCTTGATTACCCTTGTCCATTAACCTCAGTGTCAGATAGCTTTAGATAAGATTAATTACATTATTTGGGGTTTTTTTTCCATCACCACTCTGAACCTCAGTAATACATTTTTGTGTTGAAAGGAGATTTCAAACCATAAAGTCATTTTTAACCATCAAATTTAAAAGTGAGATTACATCTGCGTGTATATGTGCTTATTGAGATGAGCCCAAAAACATAAGTAAACCCAGCCCAAAGAAGAAATAACTAGACATGAGAAGAATGTAGGGGAAATCTCATGTAGTAATGTATGCATACGTTTCCTTTTCAAATAGCTCTCCCAAAGGAAGACGGGCAGCTTTTATGAAGCTAATATTTGAGCAGGTAAATGGGTGAAACCTGCTCTTCCAGCTGGGGTCGTAGAGATCACGGAGTACAAGGAACAGGTGCACCTGTAGACTTTATTCCTCACATTACTTAGACCCCCTGAGCCCAGGAAAAGGGAAACTAACCAGTTAGATTTCCAACATCCACACATATCAGCATTAGAAAAACCTGACGTTTCTCTCTGACAGAGGCTTTCCACGTCCCTCAGGGTCACAAACTGACCTGTGCAAACGCCTGAGAGGAGTTACAAAAGCAACCAGACCTAACAAACTGGACAATAAGGATCTTTTGTGTAAGTCTGAGGGGGCGTCAGAGATCAGTAACACTCACTTATTCTCCTGGATCCATCTGATCATTGCCATGACTTCGGGAATCTTATTCGGGTCGACGATGGTCCCGTCATACTGGTCCGGAAAGCTTCTGTTCAGGTCGATATTCCTGGCATTATTTCGCCCCCCGGCCTCGCCTTCGCAGTCCCCTTCCCTGGACCTCTCAAAGCCGTCGGGGTTCATGCTGGGCATGATGTAAATGTCCGTGCCGTTCACCAGCTCCGTGATCCGCGGCTCCTTGCCGTACTGCGCTAACAGGTGCTCCACCAGGTAAACCAGCACCTGCCTGGACACGGTCTCGTCTCCGTGCATGTTCCCCACGTATTTGAATTTGGGTTTCCCCGGGGTGTCTCTGTCGGGGTCCGCCGTGATCCGCATCGCCCAGAGCTCCCTGCCCTCCACCGACCGACCTATGCTAGTCAGGTTGGCAATGCGAGGGTATTTCTGCGCCAACGACTGTAAAAGGCTGGTCAGCTCGACGTAGTTGTAGTATTTATTGTAAGTTTCCGCCGTGGGGCCGACGCTTCGTGTCCCGTGTAGCCTCTCGTCGCCGAGACAGAGAGCCAGAGGCAGAAAGAAGGCAAAAAGTGACACTCGCTGGGCCAGCTTCGTCGGGGGATACTCACAAACGTGCACCATGTTGACTTATGTTCTACTCCCGCACCATTCGGACCTTCAAACCGAAAAAGAATCACCAGAGTAGGTCAATTCGGGCCCTGGCTCCCCAACAACAGATGTTTTTTTCCGCTGTCAGAGCCACTGTGGTCACCCTGTTTCCGTCTACTTCCGCTCGCCTCATGAGGGCGGGGCTATTCAATGACGACACTTTTTAAGGTAGACCGGAGGGGTTAGGGCTCACTTGCGGTCTTCCTTTAGTTTCACAGCATCATGAGTGCGGTTTAACCGAGTTTTCTCATTTTCATACACAACGAATCACTGTGATAACGACCCTCGTATCAAATAAATGAATGCTTGAAGTAATAGTTATAGCTTGACATGGTTTTCTTCACATGTAATCGTGGCATTTGATTACATAACTGGGATGACTGTGGAGGTCTAGTTAAGTTTTTTTTTTTTAAACTTGAGTTCACATGTAAATAGAAAGGCCTGTAGAAAGGTCTGATAGAGTTCAAATAATTTGGACCAACAAAAATAAAACCTTGCAATTTAATGGTTAATTTTAAAAGTATTTAAAGTAATTCAAAGCATAGTGTGGACAGGCCAGTGTCACATATGAAACAAGTGCTATAAACAATCACAGATAAATACTTTGTCCAAAATATTTTAAAACACATTCGGATAAAAGCAGGAGAACCATTTATCATCAAGTTTAGCTTTTTTCCTTTTTCTTTTTATTGCTTTACAGCCATGGTTGATCGGGATTCACAGTCAGACCACTAAATAGGGACCAAATTGTACGACATTATGATCCAAATTAGACCCAAAATCCACCAAAAAGCTGCCTTGAGATGCAAAACCTGAATTGAATCACCTACAGTTGTCTGATATGACCACCGTGTAGAGATTTGGCACAAACTGTAAACCCAAGTTCGACACCTATATATATGTACAGTTCATGTATATGATATATATAAGCTTGTGTACATATTATATACATATTCTATGTATATATATATGCCAATTTTTTTCAAAAATGGTTCTTTTTTGCAGATGAAATTGTCATCATGAATCTCATCTGTCCATGCTGCTCATGCCATGAAAAAAAGGAGAAAAAAAAAAAAAGAAATCACCATTCTGAATGAGTCAGGTTTAGCAGCAAACCTTTCTTTATTTCTCGAAGTTGCCCATTTGTTCTTTATTTTTCACCAGCAGCACCGTATTTACCCACTTATGTGAGGGGCTCTGACTCTGATTCTCCCTGTTGCCACCTAGAGACCGTTTAACTCCCTCTTCCCTCAGTGGGACATCAGTCAGGAGCTTCTCTCAGATGGCCGTTCTGTCTGCCCTCAATTCTTTCCATTATTGTGTTTTCGATTTTTTTCTGGCATTCGGCAACAAAACGAAGCAAAATCGTTGTTAAAGCACCAGAAGGCGCTGGAATGACTGGGTAAAGGGGGTAGGGGCATGTGGAAGAGCTAAAGTAAGAGGATGGGGGTGGGGGGGGGGGTGTCCGCCGGGCTCATTGCTGGATCCGACGCAGTGACTGCACCTGGAAGGACTGTGCATGGGAGCCCCACTCTCTGTAATGTTTGTACTCGCCACCATGGCGGTCGCATTCCATGATGTACTGGTAACCACGGTAACCTGGAAACTGGTAGCACACCCAGCTGGAAGGGGGGACAAATCACTGGTAAGACAAATAAATGCTCTCTGCAGTGAGTGAAATCTAGCCTTTGAGGTATAAAACATAAATAAAAGGCAACGACCATAAATAAACCTCTTTGAACCTCAGTGGTTGTATGAGAACAGTGAAGTAAGGTTTTGAATATTTTCTTACTCTCTGAAATGGGTAAATATGCTATAAATATCTATTTGTAAAGAACTGAGAGAGCATCTACCTGTTAGAACTGATCTAAAGAAAAGTCTTATGGATGGAACAAGTGGTTCAATTATCTGATTTCAAAGATGATCGGGTACTGTGGAGCTGCATTGACAGTATGAGATGCCATTCTTGTAACTTTAGCAGCAAAAGAGGCCTTACACCATTCAAACTCCCCTCTCTTTTAGTGATTGCATATCCAGTTTTTCTACCGTCACGTCAAACAGACCGTTTATCATGAGCTATCTGTTTCAGACTCACGCGCCACCCTGAATCTGCATGGATCCAATCTCGTTGTTGCTCCAGCCCATGGCCTGCAGAGAGGGGTAGTCATCATTTATCTCCCACTGCCGTCCCATGAAGTTCTCCCCTTCGAACAACACCATCTTGGACTCCTTGTGGTTCTGTGTACAGATGACACGGTCAAAGGTATTAGTGGTGACATCATGATGACGCAATGTTGTTTTCAACTAAATCTGAATGAGCAGCATTTGAAATTCATTTGCTTTCTTTGTTTATCCTGTAGATGTCAACAGACAGCCTTTTAGTGAAATTGAAGAAGTTACCAAACCTTTAATTATCAAAACCAAGTGAAGGTTACCCCGTCTAATTTGTCATCCCAAAATCTTAGGCAAACTCTCTTTTTTCTTCATAATAAAAGGCAGTTTGGTGGAGGAGTCTGACTGAGAGAAAGCAGGGGCTGCTGGGGACAGAAACTCACAGCAGAGCAGATGGGCCGGAAGGACATCATCCTCTCGATGTGGTAGGCGTTGCTGCCGCTCCACGACTCCCAGTGAGGGTACTCTCCTCTCTCCAACACGAACTGCTGTCCACAAAAGCTGGAGTGCTCATATCCTGTCCAGCTGTCAACGACACGCACGCTACTAAATGTACTCAGCACCAGCGGATCACTGGGATCTTTGAAAAGAAGGCTGATTGGAGGGACGTTTGACCCAAGCTGGTTCAAAACAAACATGGCTGCTGATGTATGTAACTGCTATCAGTTCAGTCCTAAGTGTCAGCAGTATGGCACCAATACTCTGTTGCCTGGTTCGAAATACAGAACCAGGAGAGCACTAGCTCCATGTTTATCTGTGTGTATGTGTGTGTGTGTGATGATATCCAAAGAAAGTGTGGCCTGACTTACGCTCCACACTCCACCTTGAGGGAGCGGATGTTGTCAACGCCACTCTCCATGATGTTCTGGCAGGCGGAGGTAAACTCCAGACGCTTGCCCTGGAAATTCTCCTGGTCATACACGGTGATCTGGGTGTGGAAACGAATGCATACATGTAGTGTGCACACGTCGCACGCGCACACTGATGCGTGGGCAAGCGTGAAATTAGAAAACGTAATCAGCTTTTTTAAAATCATCCGTTTGAAGTCATCCAACTCACCTTCCATGGTCCCAGTGGGGTGGGATTATTCAGAGCCATGCTACTGCGTATCTCAGCGTTGATTCACCTTTACAGCAGAGAGCATGCTCATGTGAGTGTTCGCTGCCTAACTATAACTGTGACTCACTTAGGCAATAGCGTTCATCGTTACTGCATGGTTCCTGATCACATTATATACTTATTGTTCTCCTTTTTCAGGAGTTAAAAATAACCCATCACCTTATGTTTTAGCATGGGCTGAAGCCAGTAAAATGGAGGCCTAACTGAAATAATCAAGGATATAATATGGCCCTGTTTGGGTTTGAAACCAAGGAAATGAATGCATGCTTACAATCTATAGAACCAACTTTTGACATGAGAATGATGAGTATTTGCTAGGTATCACTGTCTGCACTCAGTCTATACCTTCATGTGACTCAGCAGAGTGACGCCAGAGAAAAAGATCCAAAAGTGGAAAGTCATGATAGTCTGAGCGGTGAGGGTTGAGTTTGATGGCTTACCTGACCGTCCCAAAGAATAGCTGTTCAGTGCTCACACGGGGCTCCAGAAAAACAGTGCCCTGACCCCGCACCAAATGGACCTATTTATACATGCTGGTGCTGTTAGGCTGCTGGGCCTGTGGGTCGGGCCAGGAGTCAGCACATTGCTGGTCCAGTCCATTGTTCGTGACTGAGCTGTTGGGGTTTAGCTAGCCACAGTGGCACTGGATGGAGGGCACGGTGCCCAGTGCAGATAAGCATAAGTTCCAAATGGACCATGCCCAGAGGGCCGGACCATATCCTGGAACAGCCTAATCCAGAAAACAGATTGTCATAGTGTTGCAGCTCACTCTGGAGCAAATATCAGAAAAGCAGTTCCTGTTCAAGTGGAGGGCAAACTTTAGCAATGACTTAAAATCTTGAACTACTATATCTAAGTCACATTCTGGATTAAAGTGAGCATTACACTCAAAACATTTCAAATAGAGGTTGCTTTTTACAGTTTTACTTACAAAGTTCCTCCTTCCTTTGACTGTGCTTTGCCCCATATGTGCTCCGTCCACCATGTCCATCTCCACTGACCCACACATCTCTGGTCCTTTCACCTCTTCACTCACTCCTATATGCACACCTGCTCAGTCATGCGCTCTCATCGTCATGGACAGAGACGCACAGCAGCCTGTCCATGCATTCACATGCACAGCATACAAAGGAATTCACAGACTTACACAAAGGTATGTAGATGATCGTCTTTTTCCATGCTATGCCACTATGCCACTTCAATTGTGACATCATCTTTCCCTTTTTGGCACAGTGATATTTGGCACGTATATAGTCTTTTAAATTATATATGTTAAATCATTTTGATAAATTATACAAGTCTTTGCTTGGTGTTGAAACAATTGGCTGTAAACTTGTTTTGCAACACAAATCTGAGCTAACTGAAGAATGGCCAAAAATATTTCACATCAGGTTCCTTTGTATTAAAAGATAACAAAATTGAAGAAGGAATTATAGAGTCGTAGGATTTCTTGCTAAAATGAAGAAACCTCAAAATTGAAAAGGCAAAAAAATTAAACCAAGAAAATGGAAGGACACAAGAAAGGGTTCAGTATATAATAATAAAGGGTCCTTAAATCCCTCTACACTGGCAATAATGCCAACTTCTATATTATCTTTTTGATGTGTTCATTTCAGACATTGTTTACAACCAATGCTCTAGAGACATTCCGGGTACTACCCAAAGCTATTCACTCTTAGGATTGATTCTCAGCATTACACCTTATTCTTTATCTAAGAATTTAATTAAAAAACATTCCCCACAAAAATATTTGAACATGTGTTAAAGCCAAAATATTGCTACTTGGTTATGTTTTACCAGATCTTACCTTACAGAAGCATGGACATTTTTCTGCTTATCTCTTATTGAATTGATGTCACGTCTTTTCACAGAAATGTGGGCATGGTCCCTGTCACATGGGCTGGGATTTGTTGTCCTGGTAACAAAGTCAGTAGTGGTGAATCTAATTGCTTTCTGTGGTTCTGACGTATCATTCTGACATATTACATGCCTCAAACACATAACCCCCCCTTTGGGAGGTTAGGTTTTTCTCACAGATGTGAGATCTGGTTGGAAAATTGTTGGGAGTCTTTTAGGTTGTCTTTGCATGTTATATGAGCTCCTGTAGGGCAGTGTCATAAAATAAAGATGACTTGTGCCTAGCACACTGATAAAAAAAAACAAAAGTACAACAGTGACTTAACCATCACATGAGACAGCAAATCTGCCTTTTACTCTAAGTAATTTATCTGAACACAGAGAAAGACACAGAACATGAAACACAATGGTGTGAGCAAACAGAGAAAGCAAACAATTTGTTCATTTTCTTTGAGTAAAAAAAATCTATTTGTATCTTTTTGTGTTTTTGCAACAAGCATGTCATCTGCTGGATGTATTTTTGGATATAAAGGATGACTTGTATGCATTGTGCACGTATGAATAAAACACGTCCAGCACTAGTGTGTGCTGAAGAGGGTCCAATACTCACCCGAACAAAAGAGATTGATGTCGCTCCTGCAGTCAGCACATTACAGACCCAGGGCTCAAAGGCTTAGCCTCCCTGCAGCAAGGATGAGAGAGAGGAGAAAAATATGGAGGCCTGAGATATAAATAAGCACAGCAAATTTGGTGAAAATGGCAGAAGGGAACATTTGAAAAGTAAAAAGGGATTCAGATAGAAAAACAAGGCTGCCGAGAACAGCTGCTGCAAAAGTAAACCTGTGTTTAACAGTGTGTGTGTGTGCGTGTGTGTGTGTGTGTGTGTTCAGAGTGAATCAAACTTTCTGCTGATGGCAGTGACTGTCCTCAGTCCTTCACAATGGTGCTGGAAAATAAAAGAGGCAGCTTTGTCAGCACGATTCATCCATGGATAAGCAGCATGACCCCTGACCCCATCCTATGCTTTAAACAGTTGACAGCCAATCAGAGATCAGAGTCGTGTATCTATAGACCAGCGCTGGATGTGAATGTATATATATATCCTCGCTCCCAAGGCCTGCGTCCATCACTCTCTCCAAAGGTCGTCCTGTTTCAGCCTCCAGTTGTAACTGTAAGTGTCCACTCTCAGGTTTTCTATCTTTCTGTGAATCTCTGGACATTACAGAGGAATATTGTGATTTGCCTGTTTGCTTACTCCTTGGACTAAAAGAAAACATTGTCTCTTGTCTCAATGCTTAACTTTAGATGGAATACACAAAATGCAACAGAGAACGTGTAATTACCCAGCGCCATACTTAACAGTGGAGACTTCATTTCCGAAGCTACCTTCATGTGCACTTGTTGATTTAATATTTATCTGAACAATGCCCAACCACTCTTCCTAGAAAATGGATCAAGAGTTTGATGGGATCTTTATTTAATAGAGGAACCAGAGGAAAGGACCAAAGGAAGTGTTCTGGCAACAAGGAACAAAATGATCAAACAAAAAAAAAACTCCTTTTCAAGTGTGTGTTTCAATTAAATCAGGCAGAAAAATAGAGCATATGCTCTCAGAGGATGATCCGAATCAGGATCTTCTTTTGGCTTAAGTTCTTTTGGCTTAAGATGGACTTCTAAGAATGGTGGTTATTCACTGGCATACTATATTAGATCCAACTACAATGATGGCCTCGGGGAATTAAGCATAAAAAAGGGTTAAAACAGGCCTTCAAAGAGCAAAATTGCGGGGAGTCTTATGGGTTTCAATTTCTATCGAGTGGATTTTCAGCATATTGAAAACAAACACCATCTTTTTGCGCTGTACCACTTTGCAGATGACAAACACTTGTCTCAATCTATTCATTATGAAGACCTGTTCAAAAAACAAAATATTTTAGCATATTCGGGTTGTTTTCAAAGGATGGATGTATACATATTAATTTAAATAGACTGAGGTTGAAATCCGCTTCATGACAGTCGCACAGGCCAACTGTGACCCCTTTCAGGAGTCAGTATCTGATACTTGCCTCCTCGTGATCTTTTAGATTGGTTGACTGACTTTGCGATTCCTCTCTCCGTAGATCGGATAATGTCTCACTCAGGTGCCCAAGGCAGCATTGGCAGCCACTCTGCCATGGGGCTGCACAATCACAAGGTACCTCTACTCTTTTGTCATACAAAAAGTTTAAATCTAACACAGAAATTCATGCTCTGAACTCATTTTATTTATGTACTTTACTCTATTTATCTACTTGTTTGCTTTTTTAGATATACCTCTACGAATTTGAGAACTTCCAAGGACGCAGGATGGACCTGTTTGGAGAGTGCCGTAACCTGTGTGAGAAGGGCTTTGAAAGAATCGGCTCCATCAGGGTAGAGTGTGGACCGTGAGTCACCTAAACCCGCCATCCACGTGCTACAGGATACCTTTTACCTATAACCAATAACCCTCAAAACTGTGTCCGATTCCGCAGGTGGGTAGGTTATGAGCAGCAGAACATGTCTGGAGAAATGTTCATGCTGGAGAAGGGAGAGTACCCCCGCTGGGACACCTGGTCCAACAGCTACCGCTGCGACAGCATGATGTCGGTCCGACCAGTCCGAATGGTAAGTCCACTTCGTGCTCTTTTTTTTTTCTGCTGTGGCAACAAGAGCACATTTAATTTCATGTGTCATAAACCTCCAATTCGGCCTCACATCCACTGAACTTCTCATCTATCTCTCACTGCCTCAGAGGAAAGTGCTTTTCATTATTGCGTTATTTTATTATTCCCTGTTTTTTACTGATGAAATGACATTTCCACGAGGCGGCAGTGCGTCAGTGGTATGAAAGGTTGGTCGTTGATGGTTCAACTGTATATTTAAGAATAACAGAGGGGCTTTTCTATTCTTTTTGGGGTAAAACTTGGGATGAATCTAAGATCTTTAATAGATACAATCTCGATTACAAATGAGAAAGGAGCTGCATCCACCTCCACGGTTGTAGCAAAACTTTGAAATGTGATGTATTTCTCTTCTAGGACCCCCAGGATCACAAGATCTGCCTGTATGAATGTAATAACTTTGAGGGCCGTAAGATGGAAGTGTGCGACGAAGACATTCCAAGCTTGTGGTCTTACGGCTTTCAGGACCGAGTTGCCAGCATTCAGGTCACCGGTGGAACGTGAGTGGTTTCTGGTCTCTGTTTTGTCTATTTTTTTTTCTTGTGTGCAGCTTATCATCTCAGAGACTGATGCTATATCAGTAAAAGAGAGTTAAGCTTTTGAGACGGTGTCCGTCGTCATGAAATTACACCTTGAAAAGACACAGCTTTTGGTCACAATGTGCAAAGCTCTTCAGCTGTTTTTCTGTCTTTCGTTTCACAGATGGGTCGGCTACCAGTACCCTGGGTACCGTGGTTTCCAGTATGTGTTTGAAATGGGCCCTTATAAGCACTGGAATGAGTGGGGTGCAAACCACCCTCAGATCCAGTCCATCCGCAGAGTGAGGGACATGCGGACACACCGCCGAGGCTGCTTCGAGTTCACCGCATAGATGAGTCCGGCAAACTCTGGGCCAGCAGGAGTGAAAGGAATGAGATGGGGCTTGTAATGCTGCTAAAACATCCCTCAAAAAATTATTCATCAGCCGCTTAGCTGCATAGCTAATGCCTTTTTGAATACTGTTCTTGCTTTTACTGGTCAAATCCGGAAGTACGTATCACTGTGAAAGACTCCAAATGGGAAGAGAAATTTCATCTGTGAAGCCAATGAAAACAGTGGGAATCTCTGTCAACAGACCTCATAAAAAATACTTTATCCATAGATAAGGGAGTTGGTAGGGGAAATAGCTAAATTTATTAGTTTGTGTTTAGTAGTTTGTTTCAACATTATTTGCAATCAAATAATTGATATTAATTTCTATTTATTTTAATTTGCCTCTGTGTTTTAAGCTGAAACAATACCAAGAAAACTTTTAAGAGAAAGAACTCTCCCTTTACTTGGACCCACCAACGTTTAAAGAGTAAAGCAAGCAGTCCATCTGCTCACAAAGTGTTACCATGGATAGCTCTCAACTCGGCTCATGCCCTGCAGTGAGTGTGCAAGGCAGGGGGGGGGCACTGTCAGTTCATCCCAGAGCAAAGGGCTGGGTGACTGGAGGAAGATCTGTCTGTGATACAACAAGAAGAAAGCTGTGCAGGCTTGTGGTTTGCTGATGTGTAAATGCCTTATTGCTGGCCTGTTTCAGCTCACTGATGGGGCTGTCCAGATGTTTTACAATGTCTCAGGGATGCTGGCATCTGGAAAGCAACTTTCCAATGGAAACAAATTCAATAAAAGTATTTTACTTGAATTTGTTTTTGTTTGACTTTTGCCTATTTTCTTTAAAGATAAAAAAGTTTGAGAGCATGGTTTCACTCTGCTTGAAAAAGTTAGAAAATTTACTCAAATTAATCTAAAGTGCTCTATTTTCTGTCTACTGGGGAGCATTGGAGTTATATTAGCAGGAGCAAACAACTATGTAGTAATAAACTATGCAGCACATAGGTTAGAATAAATTACATGTCCCTCAAATCATTCTTTTAGCACATGAAATTATTTGGTATCCCAAATAAGTCCCCAAACGCAACACACAAATGAAAGAAGTTCAATTGTAGAGATTGGCAGTAGTTTTGAAAAACTGACAACCAATCCATCCATAAACACAAATTATTATCTTAGTCCTAACAGCCAAGAATGTCCTGAAAATGACTGAATATTATGAATAATTTGCTAAGAAATGGGGGTGAAGTCCAAAACCAAACTTGCCAAATGACTATATATAATAATCCACAGTGTTGGACATGAATCCATCATGAGGACAAAACGAAATTGGAAGTCATTGTGTCCAAACGGGGTAATGATTGTGGATAAGGGGAGGTAACACGTCTACACATGAGCATGAGGGCTGCAATGCTTCCCCAATTCACGACCGATCGTTCTGTTTTGGTGTCCCAATAAACGGCCAAACGTGATGGTACGTTTTTTTGTCGGGCCAAATCATTAAGGAGGTCAACATAAACGGCTCTCCACTGATGTGTGAGACAAGTTACAGTTGAAAAAGCCCAGCCACGCACGCTCTGCTGTATGAGCAGCAGAAGAGGGACGCAGACGGGCAGAAACGCACCACTGGTCGGTTTAAAGCCACGGGATTTGGATTAAATAGCTTGTGAGAGAGCCGATGAGCCCTTAGCGCGGGAGGGAGGGAGCCGGGGGCTGATTTTTATCTTTTACCGGATCGAGAAGGGGAGGAGGCATGGAGAATGAGTTATTCTTGTAGCAGCACAGAGCCTGTTTGCTGCGCGGTGTATTAGCCAGCGCGCAACCGACGGCTTCGACGCAAATAAATCTGCTTCTGCGGCGACGCGACGCCGAGAGCACCAAGAAGAAAAGCCTCAGTCCCTGCCAGGTCGCGCTCCCAACAACACTCCTCTGCTGGACATGAAAGTGCAGCAAGGCTGCAACTCATCAGACATGGGGATCCCAGTTAAAACCGAAGAAGAATTGCGCAAGAATACCGTAATAACACCCGAGGATGTGCTTGGGCTACAGAAGATCACCAAGAGTAAGTAACCCGGTGTTATTGGCACGACTCAGAGGAGGATTAACAATTTTTTTTTAACAGTTCTACAAGGAGGGCGGAAGACATGTGCTGTGGTTGTCTTGTTTGGTGTGTTGTATGTGCGTTTGTTTACTACGTTTGTCGCCTGTCTCCAGGATCTGAGCTACCATGGACAGCGACATAACCTGAGACCACCTCAGACAGACTCTATAGCTTTAAATAAGGCACACCACTTTTAACCAGCCCGCATAACAGTGAGAGGGTGCATGTTGAGACCAAGGACAGAATCTATTCGATGATCGAGCTTATATTTGATGGCTAACTTAGTCTTACGATTAATTCAACATTTTTCTCGTGGTTCCTGTCATTCATATCTGACACTTCATTCATATTTCGTTGTTTCTGATTGTATACCAGCGGACACAAAGCGTAGATGTTTTGTACTTCCTGTTGTGCCGCTCAAATCCTGCTAAAAAAAATCTGACTCTAGCTACTCCTTCACCTCAAGACACCCAGCTCTGAGGTAACAGGTGGCCTGAGATGTGATCCACTGATTAGAGCTTGTTCCAGACAGATAGTTGGAATTAGAAAACTATCACAGGGGGAAGAGTACAATTACTGAGTGGCTAATGTAATAGAAATATTGTCTGTATGATATAATAGAATGACGGCCTAAAGTCCTGTCTTATTTAGGTTATCTCATCTAAATTAGCTGAGCAGTTCAAGAGGAAGAATACCCAATGTCACACTTTTAATTCTGAAAAACAGGATGCTACTAACCAAGGTGTTTCATCCAGGAGCATCAGGTTGTGTGGTGCACATCAGCTGCAATAAAAAAAAAAAGTACAGTGTAGAAAAGCCAGTCAAGTCAACTTATATACAGAAATAGGTAAAAAATAAGATAAAATAAAAAAGGTCACAGGATCTTTTGTAGCCACTTTAAGGGGGGAAATAGAGAATAATGAGCGCATTTTTATTGACATTAACTTGACAAAATAATTGTCAAGTTAGATTGTTTTTAAAGTCTTTAAAGTCTTTCTTCTAAAGGTGATTTGTCCCATTTCATTTTGTCAAGCCCAATTTCCAAATGTTGTAAGAATAAAACCACATTAGGTACTATGCTATAAATAACAGACGATCGTGTGTCAGTGTGGTAATTTGTCACGACGTGGCTGTGATTCATAGACTTTTTCTTGGGACGGGACTGGAACGAGACCCTAGCGATTATATTTAATTCCAATTTCAACCTGGTTTTACTCTCAGATGGATTGTTCATAATCAAATGCAAAACAAAACTAACCCAATGTGATCATTTTCTTAATTTTCATGAACCCAAGTAATCATAAATAAGGGGGGGTGCCTTGGGTCAAGATTGAACTCCATCATTACAAAGCTTCCACTTTCCAACTCTGCTCTCTCCGTCAATCACATCTGTTTTTATTTGGTCGCCTCTCGGTGGAGAAGCAGAAGCGAAGCTGCTTTAGTGTGATAATTCCTAAATCACTCATGATGGTGCGGTAATCTCTGCTCTCAACGGACATGTAATCTGGATTACGTCCCGATGGCTGTAAAACTGCATTCTGCAACAAAGCAATAAGTCTCAGGTAATTAATTACCCCGAGAGACCCCAATTAGTCCCCCCAAAGTTTGACGTTTTACTGTTGGTCAGAGATGCTCTTTGTAATCTGTCACCAGTGGAATTTCTGCAGATTTAACTCATGACACTTCAGTTCACACAGATCATTTCAAATCTGGATGGATGGATGTCCAACACTGTTTCCTCGGCTGAAATTCTATATCTATTTCTCAGAGATCATGAAAGGGTTGTCTGCTGCAGGAGAAAGAAAATTGCAGCTGAAGAAGGGAGCTGCACAAAATGCCCCACCCTGCAGGGAAAATGAGGTCTTCAGATGTGCTTTCAGAAGGGAATGTGCCCCCATTATTGGGCTACCCTAATAATAGTGGCAAACCCAAGTCTTATTGTCCCACTGGTAGAGCAGGAAATAAATATAATCCAGGCATGTGAGAATCCCTCCCACGTTAACATCTGCACCACGGATGATTTTGAGAGGCCCGCTGACATCCTGCTTGCATCATGTTGTACCTTTACTTTAAGAACTGCAGTTCTACTGATCGACAATAGAAAATTTAGATGGAAATATTTGGGGTTAAACCCAAACTGGAACATTTGAAAACTTTTCTCTTACTGACATACATCTGTCGGTGCAGTTGCTGGACAGTTTTACATTTTACGACAGCTCTGTTGTAGCCACTTCCCTTTCTGTCTGGTCACCTATCAAGTTAACCGTGGTGCATGTATCGTATAAACTGCAGCTATAAAGAGGTAGTTTCTTTCTGATCGTGAGCAAAACTGTGCCTCTACAAAATTTAAAAGATGCTCCAAAAGCAAAATGCAATGATGCAATTCAAATGAAAAACAAGACAGTTTTAAAATACATTTTATTTGAGGGCTTGGGGGGGATAGATTCTCTTTAAAAACTAATGTGACACTAATCTCTCAGTAGATTACAAATTGGTCAAGACCACTGGCTGTAATTGAGGGATTCTTTGCTGTAACTGGTAGTGTTGTGGATTTATTTTAGTGCTACTGATTTTAAACTGCCTATGTGAAATCTTTAGTTTCAAAACTATTTGGAGTGATGTGCTCATCCTCCCACAGCGTCTAGCATAGGCTCAGTGATTATTCATAAAGGTCTCTCTCTCACCCGGCTGGTTCATCCTCAAAATCTCCAGTCCTGGAAACCAAATCAAATGTGGGACAAAAGCACTTTGTTGAAATTAATTTTATTTAATTTAATTTAATTAAGACATATGAAGACATTAAACATCCATATGGCGTTGTTAAACCGCAACTCAACAGGGTTTGGAGGTGGGAAATTTAGCAAATAAGTAACTTTGGGGAACCAGCATTTCACTGTAAAATCTGCAGTGATTTTGCTATTAAACGGTATTTTTTGACCTGGAGTATGCAACCACAAGATTACCTGTTATCAGACGTTTGTTTTTTTTATATATTTCTAACAGATCACTCCGTGAAATAAGCACAACTAGAGCTAAAATTCCTAAAACGGTTAACAGTTAAAAAGCAAACAGATTGATCACAAATTCATCTTGGTGGAATCTAACAAAATGTCTATTCAAGACCGATCCCTTGCCTTAGAAACATTGGTTTCAAAATGTAAAATTGATGAGGAAATCCAGGAAATTCTATGAACGGTGTATAGCCCGACTTTCAAGCTCCTTAAAAGGCTGTTACATCACTTGCCTTTATTGGGGTGCATTTGTGCTGCTTCCTGCAAACGACCGTGAACTCAAGAATTTGTTAAATAACTTAGTAGTCACGTCAGCAATGAAGACAAAATGTTCTGAAGTGCACAATGTGTGCTGTGTCGTTACACTGTGGCAAAAACGCTATTGAAATAATTGTTGCAAGATCGGTGAGACTGTGGACATACAAGTGGAAACCTGGAAGGTTAAATGGAGCCAGTCAGAGTCCATTCATTCTGTCTCGGTGTCAAATGTTGGAGAACCTCTTATCTTCAGACACATTGGATAATCTTTTAATTTACCATCTTGAAGTTTTGAAAGGCACACATAAACCTAAATAATAAAACCACTTGCAGCAGCAAAATCTAATTTTTTACTGGAACTGATACAAATAAATTGTGATACAGTACACAGTACAGAATATCTATCATGAAAAAGGCTCAACCCAATTCAATGTTTTATTTGATTCTTGGTTTTTGTAGTTTTGTTTGATATTTCCCAAAATATCACCGATGGCTCAATTTTCCTCATCCAGAGGATTCATCCAAAGCATACTTGTACTGTTTCTACTAATGGGCGATCAATTATTAGGTTTTAATAAGTCAGGCATACGGAGAAGCTCTTTATCAGGCAGGATTTCCGCTGTGCGATGTCTGCCAACACAATGGATGCAGCTTTAATTAAAATTGATCAGTGCAGCCAATTCTCATAATCTTCCAAGCACGGCTTCCACAGGGTTATTCCATCAGTGCGTTGAAACATGGAGAGGAAGATGGTTTATTCCTCTCACATCGGTCAACAACAGTGTCCTGAACAAATACCTGATGCTGATAAAAATGTTCTTATGGGGAATAAGACATGTGTGTGTGTGTCTGCAGATTTGTGCATGACTCAATAATAACTGATATGATTATATCATATCCATATACTGATATGATTATGTGTGTATCATTGACTGCAATTCTGCGTTGAAGTCAAGTGATCCACTCTGACATTTAATCTCTGACTCATTTGAAGTTTAGTAGAACCCAGCTCAGACCAACACATGTATAAACCCGAAACAGCCCTTCACAACCTAGGTGAAACATCCCGGTGACACATACAGGTCACAAATCAGAAAGCAGCTGCACACGCACTTCTCTCGGCCCCTGCCTGTCATGTTAAAAAAAAAAAAGGAAAAAAGGCAGTAACCAGTGGGTTTGCGGCCATGATCAGATCAGCTATATGTTGTCTAGATTTGTTATGGTGTTTTCAGAAGAATTAGCTTAATTCTGTCACATTTTTTGTTCAACAAATTAGAGTTTTTTTTAGCTTTTTTCCCCCTTTTTAATTATCCCGTCAGGAGCAGATGAAACAAAGCCGGCACATACCTTTGTTGAACAACCATCTAATGTGTGTGTGGGTGTCTCCCTGAAATGCTCAGCAGAATTTGAGCTCTTCAGCTCGCATGAGCAATCAAATGCCTTTAATTGCTGGAGTATCTTTTAAGGATTTAACATGCTTATGTTGCATATGGCTCTCATGGGACAAGCCTGCCAACATCCCATCTCCTCTTAAAGAGGTATACATGGATAATCCCTGTGATTTTAAGGTATGTTCTTTAGAATTACCACTCAAGATAGAAAGATCCATCATATTACCAAATGCAAAACCGAGATATGGATTTCAAGCATTTTGGGGGGTCTGGTAGCAGTTATTCATTTTCTTGAAGATCT